GGTCAGGGAGATGCTGAAAGGTCTTCCTTTGGTGCAGAGGCTCTGGGTTGGGGAGAAGAGGCCAGGAGGACGATGGGTTAAAGAGCTTGTTTTTGAACCTGTTGGTGAGGAGAGATCCTGGAGGAGGGATGGTGTGGATGTCATGTTTCTGGAAGGAGTTGCAATTTCAAAAGTGCCCTCTAGTAGCCAGGTGGATGGAATTGGGTCGTGGGGGGAGAAGACAAAGGGAGTAGGATAGTGGGTGATGCAGCATCCAAGTGAGAGAGGACAGAGGTAGTTTTTAACTCGTTTCTTAATTTTTTAAAAAGCCAAACAGTAAATAAGAACACAGTGAAGAGATCTCCCCGTTTCCCCCAGAGGAATTAACTTCCATGTCCCCTTCCAGAGAGATCCTGTGTGTTTGCAAGCAGATCTATCTTTTTGCATAAGCTGTGTACATAAATATCCCATTTCCCCCTGCCTCATTATGAAAAATACATACAGAAAGGTGGAAAGCATGATAAAATCACTGACACTACCCAGATTTAGAATGGAAACAATCCAAGTATCCATTAAGAGCAAATTGTGCATGCAGACTGTGGCACCTCAGTCAGAGATTTGGGAAAAAGGCAAAATGAAAGGATGAAGTATGCACAGTGGTATAGTCAGCTGTCTTCAGTGAGAGAGAGGGGATATAAAAGTGCATATACCTATTTGCCTATTTTCACAAAGATAAGTCAGAAATGGGTAGAAATGATAATCTCTGGGCAGGCGAGGAGATGGGGTAGAGAGAACTGGAATGGAAGAGAGACGTGGATCTATTTAATATGGATTGGCTTTTTACCTATGCAAATGTGTAAAAATAAAATTTAAAAAGGGGGGGAAAACTACCAAAATTTGAAACAAAAATGGATATAGCTAAATATCTAATTGATAGCATAACTTAGAAAAAAAAATCTTCTCAGTCACAGTCATCTGACTGTCCATCTTTAGTGGCATGTATTCTAAGAAACAAGATCAGCAGAGAAATCCTGAACTTGATCCCATAGCATTATGGTAGTAGTAATGTCAAAACTATTTATGTAAAAAAACCCCACTATATATTGATGGGCAAGTCAAATAAGTGCATGTATTACTGCTGATAGGAACCAAGATTTTTAGCATGAGAGAAAAAGATATATAATCAAATGTTATTTTTTAAAAACTCCATGGTGTTAAATTTTGAAAACTTTTAAAATTGATTTTAGAGGGAGGGCAGGAGGGAGGGAAAAAGAGAGAGAAACATCTATTTGCTGTTCCACATATTTATGCATTCATTGGTTGAGTCTTATATATGCTCGCACCGGGAATCAAACCCCTTTACCTTGGCGTATTGAGACAGCTCTAACTAACTGAGCTACCTGGCCAGGCATGATGTTAAATTTAAAATGAAAAATCAGTATAAATACAGTCAAACCTTGTTTCTTGTATGTCTCCCATCTTGAACAATTTGATTCTCAATCTAGTTGTTCATAGAATAAAAGTCTCGATTGTTGAACGAAACTTCGAACCAAACTTTGGTTTTTGACCTGACAGTCCCTTCATACTATTACCTCATCATGACAAAAAGCATCTCTCCGCAACAAACAAAGGAGAGAATGCAACAATTTTAGCACAATTTTAAAACATAAAGAGGCCATCAAGAGAGCTAATGTTGCTAAGGGTGCGAAAGAAACAAGGATCACAGGCAATTGAAGATAGGAAAACTTGTTGATTTGGATAACCAAAAAGCAATTAGCCAGTCACCGCATTTCAGAGGCCGTGATGTATGAACAAGCAAAGATGCTGCATGCTGACTACTTAAAAGACACCCCGGGAACAAGTGCTGAAAGTGACTCCTTTAAACCTAGTAGGGAGTGGTTCGATAAGTTTAAGAAAAGTAGTGTTTATTTATAGATTAAACAGTACGTTAGACATGTACTGTATACAAGAAAGGTTAAAACAGAATCATTTAGGGGTCTGGAACAGATTAATTCAATTTTCAAACAACAGCTTCTCAAACAGCCTTCTGGAATGAATTCAGTTCTAGAACCAAGGTCCCACTGTATGTTGTCCAGTAAGAGGGCCCAAGAGTAAAACATTTACTTTTTCCACCCCCAAAAAACACTTTTAAAAGCATTTCTCCTGCCCAGGAGTATAGCTCAGTTGGCTGAGCATCGACCCATGCACCAAGAGGTTGCAGGTTCAGTTTCCAGTCAGGGCACATATCTGATTTGCAGGCTCAGTTCCCAGGCAGCCAATGTTTCTCTCCCTGACTCCCTCTAAAACTAAAAACTAAAAATAAATAAATAAAATAAACTTTAAAAAAATTTCTCCTAAAGGGGGTCAAATATATGGTGACAAAAGATTGGACTTTGGGTAGTAAACAGATGATGTATCACAGAATTGTACACTTGAAACCTATATAATTTTATCAATGTCACTCGATAAATAAAATAAAAAAAGAAAGTGTTTCTCCAGTGGCAGAGCATTACACACTTTCTGCATCTTGCCTTTTCCCATTTCACTTAATAATACGCTTGGTGGTTCTTCTATGTTTGTGCCCACGGATCCAATGAATTTTTAACCTGAAAGGATGGATGATGTGTACCAACAGTTGTCTACTCTCAGATACTTTAGTCAAAGCATATGTGCCCTTTTTTGGTTTGTTTATCCTCACCTGAGGATATTTTTCCATTGATATTTTAAAGTGAAAGAGGGGGTAAAGACAGAAACATTGATGTGAGAGACACACATTGATTGGTTGCCTCCTGCACACTCCTGACCAGGGCCTGGGCTGGGGAGGAGCTTGCAACCAAGGTACGTGCCCTTGACCAGAATCGAACCGAGACTCTTCGGAAGACAGGCTAATGCCCAATCCACTGAGCCAAACCAGTTAGGGCTACTCTTGGCATTTTAGAACCATCTGAAGTGAGTGCTGTTATTACCCCTATTTGAATGGGAGAAACGAAGGCACAGGTACAGCAAGTTGGCCATGGTCACACAGCCCGTGGCAGAGCCCAGATTTTAATGCAGGTGGGTGGCCTCCAGGGTTCCGGCTGTGTGAGCATCTGAAATGTTAGTGGCTGAATTGGATACAAGTGAGGAGGGGTTAGGCTTGAGTGACATGTAGGAGGCCCAGAATTCGCTGGGGACCCCCTTCCCCATTTCTCCCCAGTTCCTTGTAGGGGCTGGAGCCCCAAAGCTTCCACTCCTATTCTTTTTTGCAGACGGCTTCATCCAAAGACTCCACGGGCACAGCAGATCCCACCCAGCAGCATATTGTAGGTAAGGCCCTGCGTGTAGAGCAGCTGGGTTCTCACTGGGCCTGCGGGGTGGGCTCCTGGGCTTTTGGACTCAGCCAAGGCCCCTTGGGTATGCGTGTTGCCACACCAGGTATCCAGAGTCCCGATCAGCAGGCTGCCCTGGCCCGCCACAACCCCGCCCGGCCTATCTTCGTTGAGGGCCCCTTCTCCCTGTGGCTTCGCGACAGATGTGTCTACTACCACATCCTCAGAGCAGACTTGGTGCCCCCTGAGGAGAGGGTAAGGGCCCAGATGGTGAGGGGTGGGCTGGCACTGCCCTGAGGGCTAGTGAGGGTTCACAGATTGGGGTGGGAGTGACAGTTTCTGCTGATGGTAGGGGGGGAGGCTGCAAGATCCTGAGCCTCTGACTCTGTCTGTACCCCCCGCCCCTTCCTGGGGTAGGAAGTGGAGGAGATTCCAGAGGAATGGAACCTCTACTACCCGATACAGCTGGACTTGAAGTATGGGAGAGGCGGCTGGGATGACTACGAGTTTGACATCGATGAAGGTAAAAACTGGGATGAGCAGGACTCCAGATACAGCATGGGATGAGGTGTGGCCTATGGGGTTGAGGCAGACCTAGCAGGTGCCCAAATACACACACACCTGAGGGGCTCCGGGCCTGTCATTTCTCCATCATGGAGCGCCTCTGTGCTGGTTACCCAGTGTGACCAGGGCAGGGCCAGACGGGGAACAGGCAAGTTATACTCTGGGGAGGAGCAGGTGGGAAGCGGGAGGACTTTCCGGTGGAATCTTGAAGAACCAGGAGGCATCACACAGGTGAAGCCTGGGCTGGGCGGCTGAGGCAGAGTGCATGTCCTGTGCGGAGACTTGGATACACAAGAAAACCAACAGGCAGCTTCCAGTCCCTGCCCTTGGCCTGGAAGGGGTGTGGGCTACAGTCCCCCTGCACAAACTGAGGGCCTGTCTCTCCCAACAGTGGAAGAAGGCCCTGTCTTCGCCATGTGTATGGCAGGTGCCCATGACCAGGCTACACTGGCCAAGTGGATCCAGGGCCTGCAGGAGACCAACCCCGCCCTGGCCCAGATCCCCGTGATCTTCCGCCTGACAGGGTCCAGTGGGGAGCTCCTGGCGTCCTCCTCAGGACTGGAGGAGCCCTCCCCGCCACCACCCCAAGAGCAGGAAGAAGAGGAAGACCATACGCAGCGACAGCAGCAGGGCCAGAGCTGAGGCCTGAGCGGGCTCCGGGGCACGGGCCTGGACTGGTGTGGAAGCATGAGATGACCTTTGAATGTACAGCAAATAAAAGTTTCCTGGTTGAGGGCTGCCTTCCCTCCTATCCGGCGGTGGGGCATTCCTGCCCTTTTAGTGCCTGGTGGCAGGGCTTCTCAAGGGCTCTCCGGGTCCAGGACTGACAGAAAGGTCAGATCCCTGGCCTCCCCTCTGCCTTCACCTGAAACTCCCGCCCTCACCTGTCATCGCCGGCAGGCGTTCAGGGTCAAGACGCAGAAGCCCCACCCCCAAGGTCTACGGGGTCATCCGCCTCTTTCTTACGGGGCTGCCTTCAAACCTTCAGCTCCTCCCTCCATCTCTATGAAGTGAGAAGTTGAACAGAAAGAGATTAGGTTGTCGCGCATGCTTGTTGGGCGCATGCGCAATTTCCTCTGTCTCTCTTTGGCGCTGCGGGGCGGTGAGTCCAAGAGAAATTTCCCGGCGGCGCGGAAGATGCGCGCCACTTCCGGCCGGGCTCCTAACAACGGGGGAGGCTGGTAACCAGGGAGGGGGGGATGGCGGAGCTGGCGCCCGAGGCGGAGGCGGAGGCTGAGGCGGGCGCAGGCGGGGAGGCAGCGGCCGAGGAGGGCGCGGCGGGCCGCAAGGCGCGGGGCCGGCCGCGACTCACGGAGTCGGACCGGGCCCGGCGGCGACTCGAGTCCCGGAAGAAGTACGACGTGAGGCGCGTGTACCTGGGCGAGGCGCACGGGCCCTGGGTGGACCTGCGGCGCCGCAGCGGCTGGAGCGACGCCAAGCTCGCCGCCTATCTCATCTCGCTGGAGCGCGGCCAGCGGAGCGGTCGGCACGGGTGAGGGGCCTCAGCCCGAGGGAGAGAGGGCGGGAGGGAGGGAGACGCCCCCACCCCCGCTGAGCCTGGTCCCGCCCCCTCCGCCCAGGCTCTGCCCCTGGCACCTCCGAGCTCCGCCCAGCGGCCCGGCCTGGGTCTCCGACTACCGGTCCTGGGACGTGCCTCGCTCGCGGCCCCGCCTCCCGTCGCTCTGACCGCCCAATCCTAGGATGCGTCCAGCCTCAACCCGCCTCCTGGGCGTTTGGCCCCGCCCTCTAAGCGCTGGCTGACCAATCCTGGTACGGGCTCCACCTCCAAGCGTTCTAACTGTGCAGTCCCTAGAGGGGCGGCCCCGCCTCCTGAGCCTCAGTGGCCAGAGGTCCCGACTGTCCCTGGTGTTTCCCAGGCCTCGTCCCCTACAAGGTAGCCTGAGACTGGACTGCGTGACTGCACACCCTGGGCCACCCAGCCCTGCCTGTCATGAGGCTCCGACGCCCCAGCTGGGACAGAATGGTGCCATCCCACAATCCTAGACCCCACCTACCTTGAGGACCCTCACAATCCAGATCGCATTCCCCTAAAGCTCTTGGCTCCTAAGGAGCAGTCAGCCCAGGGAGACTCAGGTGAACAGGAAGCCCTGAGTTAGCCTCACAGGTGCAGGCAGAGGCCTTTGCAGTCTCAATTTTGAGATGAGCAGTGTTAGTGGAATTTGTCGCTTCCAGCCTTATAGGTTGATGTGATGATTAAATGAGTTAAACTGCAGCGAAGGCCTTAAGACAGTGCCGGCACTTAGCGTTCCAGGTATTACCTGTTAGGATGATGTTTGTTCTGCATTACAAGCAGTTCTGTGACAAAATCCTTGTTCTGCCCAGTGTTTATTTGCACGCGTTTGCATGTTTCTCCTGGGGAGGCGAGATTCTGAGGGTCAAGAAACAACCTGCCTCCTGCTGAAATTGTACCCACCTCTTCTTAGGGTGGCAGGCTGGTTTATGTGCCCAAGAGCAAGGCAGGAAATGCTGGGTGCTTAAAAAATCTCGAGCCAGTGTTCCACTATTGGAATTTCTGATTCAGTTAGTCTGATGGAGCGGCAGACCCTGTGTTTTTTTATGCAAAGCTTCCAAGGAGACTTGATGTGCAGCTGGAGAACCACTGGCCAGAGGGAGCCCTAAACTGAAAGTGGTATTTGCGGAAGCTTGGTTTGGCTGAGCAGGAGCTGTGTGTGCAGGACTAGGGCAGGGGCACTGAGACAACCCGGGCAGTGTGTGGCAAAAACTTGGCCCAGGGCCCATGGGTAGTTGGGAAAATACACTAACCTGGGTGAGGGATATCCTATAGGGAATAGCCATGACCAGAAGTAGGAGGTCAAATTATTTCAGTTGTTCAATTATTTATAACCTATCTTGTACCTGGAAGGATTTCAGTTCAAGGGATGTGAAACATGAACACGAAAGCAGAAGTTAAAATCAGGGTGAAAAGAGAAAGAAAAATGAGTGGCATAGTGAGGCCATGATCAGTGCTGTTGGATTGAAGCATTAAGTCACAGGGGACATGACTAGGGCAGTTTTGTGGCATGATGAGATAGAAATCTGACCAGAGGGGTTCAAGAGGCATGAAGTGGGAATGGTGAATAGAATTTGCCTTGGTGCTTTCTAGCAGCTAGTGGGAAAAGGGAAACAGTGGTCAGAGTGGAATTTTAAGTGTTTCTTCATTTGTTTAAGGAACATTTAATGAGCACCTACTCTGTGCCAGGTGCTCATTAAATGCCAGGGTACAGCACTGAACAAAACAAAGATAACTGCCTCGTGGAGTTGACATAAAGGGCAGAGGGTAGAGGCTTTTCTAGTGTGTAAAGGTTTGTCTACTGCAGATAAGAAACAATAAATTATGGAGCATGTGAGAGATTGATAGAAGCTATGGAAAAAAACAAAAGTGAAATAAGGGAAGAGGAATCAGGAGTGTGAGCTGGAAGTTTAAATACGGTATTAGGGTGGAGCCACCTTGAAAAAATAGCATTTAAGTATACAGCTGGAGGAGGCCAGGGCGAGCCGTGTGGATATTCAGGGGAAGAGTGTTGGAAGAAGAAGGAATAGCAAGTGCAAAGGCCCTGTCTGGTGCCCTGATATGTACATGGTACGGTGAGGGGAACGTGTGGCTGCAGCACAATGAGGAGTGGGAGAAGACGAAGGCAGGGAGGTGCAAGGAGGACTGATTTTTTTCTTCTAGTGAAAAAAACCTGGTGGGATTTATTTTTGCCTTTGTTAAGTGCAGAATTTGAGTTCCCTTTATAAGTGCAGAGAAGTCATGTATCCGGCTTAGATGTTTAAAGAAGCACTCCTCAGGGTGTGTGTGGTGGGAGGAATGGGTGGGGTATGAGTTGAAAGAAGGTTGGCCAAGAGTTGACAGTTATTAAAGCTGGTGATGGGTTCAAGGAAGTTCACTCTCCTCTTCTCTCTAGCTTTGTATGTGTTTGCATTTTTCTTTTCACATCTTAAACTCCTACCAAGAAAATCAAAAGAATCATCCTGACTCCTATGTTGAGACTGTGGGAGGGGGGGGAAGGAGGAAGAAGATGACTCCACTGGTCCAGGTGAGCCAAGATGGGGCTGGCCCCAAGCAGGGTCATAGGGAAATGGAGAGAAATGGTTGAACTTGGGACCAGCAATGTTCTCTGATGGGTGTGGATATGAAAGATGCCCCGGGTTTGAGCCTGAGCACCTGGAAAGTTGCAGTTGCTGTTAACTGAGAAGGACTTTGTTGGGGGACAAAATGACAGCTTGCACGTGAGACCCCTACATGGGGTGTCAGGAAGGCGGTGGAGGTGCTGTTGTGGTGGGGAGAGAGCCAATCAGGAGATGCAAATGTGGGAGTCACCAGGGTGGTGATGGATGCACATGGACCGAGCACACAGGTCTGAGCCCACTGCCATTCTCTGTGCTTCCGGAAGACAGGGAGATGCGGAAGAAGCAGCAGCCTGGGAGGCAGGTGTAGGAACAGGTGGGGTGGTGTCCTGGAGGCTGAGGGTCCAATACTGGGGGGCTGAGTGAGGCGCCATCCCTGGTGGCTGTAACGGGGCCGTTTGTGGCATGGTGGGGAAAACGCTGACCAAGGGCTCATGGAAGATGAAGGAGCAGACATGGAAACCAAGAGTGTAGACAACTCAGTCAAAGAGGGGTCAAGGAATGGGGCAGAAGTTGGTAGTGAAGGGGCTCAAGGTCATTTTAACCCAAGATGTTAGAAATACCAGCTTGTTTGGATGCTGGTGGAAATATCAAGTCAAAAGTGAAATCGAAGGGCAGAGGAGAGCAAGGGACTGTTGTTGCTGGCCACCATTTGGTTGTGGCCACTGAGAGGAAAGTACAGCCAGGCCCTGCAAAGCCTCAACAACTGTTGTCCTCAAGTGCAGGTGGTGGCCACTGCAGGGAGTCACGAAGATGGTAGAACTTGGAGAAGCAGGCAGTGGGGGAACGTAGTTTGGGTTGAAGGAGAAAGCGCTGTGTTAAGGTCAGAATGTGGCCTGACTTCCTGTAATCCTCACAGCAACTCTGTGTGGGAGGCACTGCTGTTATCCCACTTCACAGATTGAGAAACTGAGGCTCAGAGGGGATGGCACTGCTTGGGATTACACAGCCAGTCAATAACAGAGATGCAACTTGAACTGGGATCTGACCAACGCCAAGCCTGTTCCCACCACAAACACTTGGCATTCTCAGCACCCCAGTCATGGCAAGGCCTTGAGTGATTGTAGGTGGCATGGTTGTTTGGACTTGGGTTTGGGGAAGGATCTGGCAGCCTGGCCCCTTAGAGGGGGTAGAGGCCCCTCAGATGGGACAGAGAGGAGCAGATCCCAGGGCAGAGGTCAGAGCCTGGGGCAGGAAGGACAAAGGAGCCCTGAGGAGCTGTCCTGGGACCAAACTTGAGGTGTGGGGGCTGAGAATTGTTATCAAGCTGGATAGGGGACTGAGGGGATGGGCAGTGGAGCTGAGGAGAGACCCTGGGTTGGCTGTCGGGATATTTGTGGTAAGAGCAGGGCGGTCAGTGTTCCAGGGCCTGGTCTGTGATAATATTAATAATCATAATGATCATTGCCACCATTTGCTGAATGATTACTAATTGCCAGAGCTGCACCAAGCTTTTTACAATGCATATAACCTCATACCAACCTCACGAGGAAGTTGCTGTTATGATTCCATGCTCCAGATGGGGAAACTGAGGCATGGGGCAGCAAGGTCACTCACCCAGGGTCACAAAGCTTACTGCTGCAGTTTAGAAGAAGAACAAGGAAACAGCCAGGGTGAAGGGAGCAGACCTGGAAGCCTGGTGGCAGGAAGGCAGAGGGAAGCCCCTACCAGGTCTGAGAGAGATGGCGCCAATGGACCTGCCCTCAGTCTGGGTCGAGCCAGTGGTGGGCCATAGCCACGCGGCCCGAGTGGAGTCAGGAACCCACCCAGCAATCTGATGGCCATCCCGGTGTGGGAGGCCAGGAGAGCCTGGGCTTTGGGCCTGGCCCTGCCAAGGCATTAGGGGTGAGCTAATTAAATGTTTGACCAAATATAGCAGGCTAATTTTTAAGTTGATAATTTTGTATGGCCTGTGAGTGATGTTATAAATATCCAAATGGCCTTTGGCATATAAAAGGTTCCCCACTCCCAATCTAGAGGTTCATCTAGGGAAGGGTCTCCCAGACTCCCTCAGTGTTGGCAGAAGCCACGTGCTCGTGGTTGTAGGACTGGGGTCCCTGCAGCCCTGCTGGCTGTCGGCAGGACTGCTCTCAGCTCCCGGAGGCCATTTGTTCTCAGGTCCTTGCTACACAGCCCCTCATAGTCCCCCTCACATCCTCAGCCTCTGATTTTTGACATCAGCTGGGTCTTTGCAAGGGCTCTCTGATTAAATCAGGCCCACCTCAGTAAGTTCCCTCTTGATTAATTCAGTCACCTAGCCACGGGAATGGTGTCCCTTCATATTCACATGCGTGCCCTACTGGTGGGGAGAGGGTTATACTGGGTGTGTGATCCTAGCGGGTGGGACTATGGGGCCATGAGAGGTCAGAACGAGGTACTGACTTTATACCCTCTTCTGACCTCTCCACTCCCTGGCCACGGGACCCTGGGCTTGTGGTCTCACCTCTCTGAGCCTCAGTTTCCCACTCTGTGAGGTGGGTGAGGATACTAGACTCCCCTCTAAGGGCTGTTGTCCATGTGGGAGAGAACCCAAGTGAAGGGCCATGAGAACAGACTCAGGAACCAGAAGCAGGATGCAGGATAGCTGTCATTATCTCACCATCAGTCAGGCACTGCGTCACTCCCCCTGCCTCTCTCTGTTACAGGAAGCCTTGGGAGCAGGTCCCCAAAAAGCCAAAGAGGAAGAAAAGTAAGTGGGGCTGCAGCCAGGGGGGAGGGGTGGGTGTTGGGCGTTCCTGGCTTTGTTGTTCCCTCCCTTCCTGCCTCCCTCGCTCCCTCATTCTCTGAGGCCATTTGTGGAGAGCCTGCATGTGCCAGGCACTGTGGAACAGGGCAGACCCAGCCCTGCCCTCACAGAGCCCACAGGCTCCTGGGAAACACAAGGGACAGGCTGAGCAGGGCTGTGACGGAAGGGGGAGGTGGATTAGGGCACTGGGGCCCAGAGGAGGGGCCCCACCCAGCCCGGGGTGGGACCCACCGAAGGAACCTGTGCTGTGCCCAGCAGGGGTGCCCTCGTCATCTCTCATCATCCCCATCTTACACATATAGAATCCAGGAAGACCTAGTCACTGCCCCAGGCTGCACAGCTGGCAAGTGGCAGGGCCAGGCTGCAAGCTCAGGTCCTCATGTCTCCAAAGTAGTCCCCTGAGCTCCTCTGCTCTCCTGCTGGTGTGTGGGAGTCAGCCAGGGAAGAGCCAGGCAGAGCAGAGGGAACAGCTTGTGCCAGGGCCTAAAGGGCATATCATGTGCCAGGCTCAAGGGGAGCTGGGCGTGGGCAGTCAGAGCATGTCCCTCCTGCCCCTGAGCACTGGGGCTGTGGGTCTCGAGCCCTGTCCAACAGGGTGAGAGCCAGCTGTCCAGGGACAGCCTTCTGGTGGCAGTGAGCCCCTCCCACTGTCAGTTCTCAGGCACCATATGAGCTAAGACTGTGACCCCAAATCCCAGAGGGGTGGGGATGAAGATAAGGAGGCAAGTGCTAGGCTAAGGAGGTGGCTTGCTGGTAGTGTCCTCATGGCTGTCACTGTGTTGGAGGCCCAAGGACCTTCCCCGGCCCACTCCTCATCTAGCCTGGAAGGTCAGAGGCTCACCTTCTTCCCACTGGCTTGAGGGACCAGGATCATCACACATATCGCTGGTACCAGTTCTTAGGCACTCACAGCCCCTTTCTGTGCCCTGTCAAGGTCTTCACTCTCTAACCTCCTCCCTGTCAGCCTTCAGAAAATGGGGACCCTTATTCTCCCCTGACCAGAGGGGTCAGCTGAGGTTCAGAGAAGCCAAGTCACTTGCCCACAGCCCCCGGGAGTGGTAGAGACAGGATTTGAACCCTGGTGGTTTGGCTCCACTATCCTCCCCTTTCCCCCCCCCCCGCCCCCACACACACAATATGCGCTCACCTAGCACCTGCTATATGTAGGTGCTGAATATGCAGAAGGAACCACACAGAGAAGTGGCCCTGTCCTTAGGGAGCTGACATCTGGTGTGGGAGATGAGCAAGAACCATGAAAACAAATAAGCGTAGATAGTATCTCAGTGCTACCTGGAGAGAAGGGAAGCAGGTCAGGTCCGCTAGAGGGACAGGGAAGAGAGGATGGCTGACCAAGGGAAGACCTGAGTGAAGGTGGAGGCGGCAGGGCCGTTATCTGGTGGCAGAGGACACAGCCAATGCAAGGGCTCTGCGGCTGGACCAGGGAGAAGGCCCTGAGGCTGGGGGGAGTGAGCAAGAGGGAGCGTGTGAGGAGGTGAGGACAGGCGACCGGGCGGAATGTGCAAACCCCCGGGAGGAGTGTGACTTCACCCAGTGAGGGGGGCGCTGAGGAAAATTCTGAGCACAGGGATGTGACCTGACGCAAGTGTTGACAGGCGTCCACTGGTGCCTCTGGAAGGAAGAGACTGTAGGAGGCCAGGGTGGGCGCAGGGGCAGGCGGGGGACTGAGTGTGACAATAAGAAGCAGCTAACAATGACTGCACCTGCTATGGCCACGCCCCACTGTTGATGTGACTGTTCATCCAGTGAGGACAGTCTCTGTTATCTCCAGGGTGTCTCATCTCTCTGAGCCTCAATTTCTTTACCTGTAAACGGGACAGGCCTGGACAGGGTTCAGGACGTTGTCTCAGCCCCCAAGAGCCAGAAGGCCCGGGTGGTTGTAGGGGCCACACCGCCCTGAGTGGCCCAGCCATACTCCTCATGCCTGACCGGCCCTGTGTGCACAGGACGTCGGCGCAACGTGAACTGCCTGAAGAATGTGGTGATCTGGTACGAGGACCACAAGCACCGCTGTCCGTATGAGCCGCACCTGGCCGAGCTGGACCCCACCTTCGGCCTCTACACCACAGCCGTGTGGCAGTGTGAAGCCGGCCACCGCTACTTTCAAGACCTGCACTCACCCCTGAAGCCACTCAGCGACTCAGACCCCGACAGTGACAAAGGTGGGTCCGCAGAGTGAGGGCATATGGTGGCCTCCGGTGCCTGGGGGTTCACAGCTCCTCGTGGAGAGTCACCCTGGACTGCCCACCCTCTTGGGTCTTGCTAGCCTTAGGCCAGTATCATAAACTTCTCAGTAACTAGATGGCACAGGTGCTGGCTTCAGGGACAGAGTGCAGACTCAGTGCAGCCTGCAAGCTCAGAGTCCTTACAGATCCTAAGACACAGTTCCCGCTTTACAGAGACAGCTGAGGCACAGGGCGGTTTGCCCACCTGTGCCCAAGGCCAGGCTCAGGCAGGGCTGGACGTGGGGTCCAGGAAACCCGGCTCAGTAGTGGGAGGGAGGGATGGGTGCTGGGCCTCAGACTCCCCAGGGCGGCTCTTCTCTCCTGGCCTCTTCCTCCTCCTCTATTTTCTCCAGCCCTTTCTCGGGTTCAAGGTCTGTCTCTACCAGTCTCATCCTCTTTCCCTCTCTCCACCCTGCTCTCCTTCTCCTCACTTCCTGTTCTTTGCTCTCTGTCCCTCTCATCCTGTCCCTGTTTTGTCCTCTCTCTCTCTTGCTCTGTCTTCAGTCTCCTTCCTTTCCTTGCCTCCCCACATTGTCTCTCTCTGTCTCCCCTCCATCTCACACCCTTTGCATCTCTCATTCTCTACCCTCTGTTGCCCTGCCTTTCCCATCTCTGTCCCTGCTCCTCTCCTGCCATTCCACATTGGTCACACCCAGGGACTGGCTGCCAGCTCAGGACTGGGAGGGACTCAGTTACGAAGGTCCAGGAAGACCTGGTGGAGGAGCAAGGGTATGCTCTGGGTGGTGAGAAGGAGTGTGAGGCCCGTGAACAGGTGCCCTGCCAGGGCTGAGGGTGAGGTCAGTCACCAGGGCTGAGTCCGAGCTGGCAGGCATTTGGAGCAGATGGCATCCCAGCTGGTGAGGGGAAGCCGTGGGCGAGAGGTGTTCCAGGTGGGCACCCTGGCCAGTGGCCATCCCGTTGTGTGTCAGTCAGGTTCCCAGTGTGAACCTGCCCCTCAGCCACCCTGTCCTGTACTCAGCTCCAGGCTCACCCCAAAACTCCCCGAGTCCTCCCCACAGTCCTGTCATTAGACCCACTGAGCAGTCGAGGAAACTAGGGTTTGGGAGTAACGTGACTGGCCCATCTGGTAATGGATCCAGCTTGGATGGGTGACACCCAGAGGAGGTCCCTTGCACCCCAACCTAACTTTTACACTAGCAGCTTCTGGGGCTGGGCCCTTGGGAATGAACAAGGGGATCAGTTCCCGGTCTGCTGTGGTTGCTGGGGGCCGGCGAGAGAGTGCTATGCCCCAGGCCTGCCCTCTTCCCTCAAGCAGCACTCTTACCTGCTCTGCGCCTGGGCAGCCTGCCACCTCTCACTCAGTAAAAAGGCCCCCCACCCCCAAGGGACTGTGGAAAGCCAGGCGTGCACGGTCATTTCTGTTGTGAATGTTATTGTCGTCTTGAGCAAGATCCAGTGTCAGCCTTAGCAGCCAGTGCTGCACTCAGGGACCCAGACACCCAGCTATGCTCCCAACTCATTAGGTGGTTGCCCCTCCTTCAGGGTGCAGCCAGGGCTCATCCCATGACAGGGTGTCGGAAGGAGGGGCTGATCCCCTACTGTTCCTGTTGCCATCCCAGGGCCTGCCTCATGGACGGGGCAATTGGGTATTAAAGATAGTGGAAAACATTGGTAGGGTGCTTTCTCCAAGCCTGGTACTGTCCTAAGTCCTTTACATGTATTTACTCATTAAATACCCAGAGTACTCCCTGAGGTAGGTGCCAAGGTATCTCCAGGCCCAGATGGGTTGCATAAGGCGCCTATGACCACACAGCTGGAAGAGCAAGCACTGAGACCCCTCCCCCTGCTGCCGTCTGGCTCCAGAGCCTGCATGCTCCCTGTGACCCTCTGGGGGTAGAGAATGGGTGGTTCCCAGACAGCGTGCCCCAACGGTCACGAGTGTGTAATCTAAGGGACAGTCACTCATTTTTCCTGTCCCCAGCTTCTCCCTGTGTGGGTACATTAGCACCAAATGCTTGAGTAAGATGTTATCCCCCTTGGCCTTCATCACAGCCTTGAGCTGAGAGTCATTCATTTTTGCAAACGTGTGCTCATTGTGTACCATATAGCCTCTGGGCACTGGGGACTGTGCACAGGGACCCATGTCCTTGTGGAGTTTACGTCTAGAGGGGAAGCAGACAATAAACTAGGTAGACAAGTAAAATCCAGAGCACACTGGAATATGGGAAGTATTTGGGGGGGAAATAGAGAGAAAAGGGTGCTATTTGAGATAAGGTGGCCAGAGGCCTCCCTGAAAAAAACACCATTGATGAAGGATCTGATGACGATAAGGAAGGGAGCCCGTACAGGTGTCTGAGAGAACAGGGTTCAGGTAGGAAGTGGCAAGTGCAAAGGCCCTGAGGCAGAAACCTGTCTAGTGTCTCAGAGCACGGGAGGAGGTCAGTGGGGCTGGAGAGGAGGTGCAAGCCCTGTTAGCTGCAGCAAGAGCTTTGGCGCTATGCCAAGTGAATTGGGAAGGTTATTTTCTTTTTTTTAATGATAAGCATTGTATGATAGTTTGACAGCTTTTTTTCTTTCTTTTTTTTAATAATATATTTTTATTGATTTCAGAGAGGGGGAGAGAGATGGAAACATCAGTGATGAGTGAGAGTCATTGATTGGCTGCCTCCTGCATGCCCCCTACTGGGGATTGAGCCTGAAACCTAGGTATGTGCCCTTGACCAGAATCAAACCCGGGACCCTTCAGTCTGCAGGCCAGTGCTCTATCCACTGAGCAAAACTGGCTAGGACTGGGAAGGGTATTAACTGAAGTAAGGCCAGCTTCTGAAATATACAAACCTGCAAATTACCTTCCATCCCAGGACCCAGGTTATTTCCGTCCTGTGGCTCCAGCCTCCACTGAGTTCTGGCTGGCTAGTGGAAACAGAGGTGGAAGTTCATGAACCACTCACATTTCACTGGGACTCAGCCGTATGGCCACAAGGGATGCTAGGAAATGTAGTCCACTTGGGTGCCAGGAGAAAGAAACTCAGGTTTGGGGAACAGCTGGCCTCTCTCTTTCACAGAAAGTGACGAGCATATTCTCAAAGAAGGATATGACCTAAGCAGGTGTTCACAAACTCCCTCTGGCCACTGTAGGGAGGACAGAGTGTGGGGGGTGAGGGTGGGAGCTGGGGGACCAGGGAGAAGGGACTGCATGGTTCAGGCAGGGGATGCTGGGGCCATGACCAGGCGTGTGCAGGGGAGGTGGGAGAAGCTGTTGGCTTTTGGATGTATTTCGGATGCAGCACCAATAGGTTTTGCTGACAGATTGGAAGTAGCTGTGAGAAAGGGAGAAGTCAAGGATAGCCCCAGGACTTGGCCTGGGCAACTAGAACAGAGCTGCCCTCTCGGGGACGGGGACACCCAGGAATGCTGCAGGCTTTTCCTGATGGGGCTCAGAGCCCAGAGTTGCTGAGAGGAGTGTGAGATGCCTGTGAGATCCCCTGGGGGGTGGGTCAGCAGAGAAGGCAGTGGCAACACAATAAAAATAGATACTTGATCTTGGTTCTGGATTCCTGGCACAGAGCTCCTAAAACCCTTGGAATTCCCTGAGAGAGAGGAATGCTTTTCGTTATCATGAGTACCATTTGGGAAGGAGCCCCTTTGAAACACCTGGGCTCTATGCTAATGAGGTGACTCAGGGAGGGACCCGTACGTAGTTAGCTTCAGGAGGAGGGCTGGTCACCAAAAAGACCAAACACATGATTACAGGAGCAGTATCTCTCAGCCCCACACCCCATCCCCAGGGCTGTGGACAGGGCCTGGAGGTCGGATTATTAGAAACTCTTGAACAGTGTGATTCAGAGAGTTTCCGGGTTGGGGAACGTGTGGAGGCATGGAGAGGGTGGCACACCTGGAGAGGGCATGGCAGCTCCGTGACCCCGCCCCTGTACCTTTCCCTGTGCATCTCTTCCATCCGGCAGTTGCTGAGTTTTGTCCTTTATAATAAAACTGTAATTGGAAGTGAAGCATTTTCTTGAGTCCTATGAGCCATTCTAGCAAATTATCAAACCTGAACATGGGGTCGTGGGAACTCCGGGTCAATAGCTAGGAGTGCAAGTGGCCTGGGACTTACAGGTGGCCTGGGGCTTGCAGCTGGCATCTGAAGTGGGGTCATTCTTCTGGGGTCTGACGCTAACTCCAAGTGGGTAGTGTGAAAATTGTATTGAACTGTTGGACACCCGGCTGGTGTCAGAACCAGGGCAGGATTTAACACCATCAGCCCGGCTGAAACCCTGGGGTGATCTGATCAGAGCACTCAGGAGAGGCCCCAGCTAGAAGCTTCCAGACCTTTAAGAGCAAAAGAGGCTGAAAAGGAGCCACCAAGGAGGAGTCAGGAGACTGGAGCGGGCCAGAGGCAAAGGGAGGAGAGCATCTTTGAGGAGCGGGGGTGATTGAGGAGGATGGGGACTGAGAAGTGACCACAGTTCATGCCAGTGAGGAGTCGCAGCACCCAGCCCCTTGTGAGCCCTCAACCAACACCAGCTGCTGCTGCCACTATTGTAACCCTCCCTTTCCTCTGTCACCACAGTGGACAACGGCCTGGGGGCTGGCAGCTCCAACTCGTCCAGCTCCTGCTCTGGCTCTGACTCTGAGGAGCCCCCTGGAGGCCAGCCAGCCAAGGCGACAGTAGCAGCCGCTGCTGTTACCCCCACCAGCCCAGCGGGCAGCAGTGGGCTCATCACGCAAGAGGGTGTGCACATCCCTTTCGACGTCCACCACGTGGAGAGCCTGGCTGAGCAGGGCACCGCACTGTGCCCCAACCCAGCAGGCAGCGGGCCGGAAGCCCTGGAGACCGTGGTGTGTGTGCCAGTGCCCATGCAAGTGGGCCCGGGCCCTGGCACCCTTTTTGAGAACATGCCCCAGGAGGCACTGGGCGAGGTGGTAGCCAGCTGTCCCATGCCAGGCATGGTGCCTGGCTCTCAGGTGATCATCATCGCAGGCCCAGGCTATGATGCCCTCACGGCTGAGGGCATCCACCTCAACGTGGCAGCAGGCAGCAGTGCGCCCAGCGGGGCCCTGGGTGACGAGGTGCCCTGCACCATGATGGAGGGTGTGGCAGCCTACACGCAGACGGAACCTGAGGGCAGCCAGCCCAGCACTATGGACCCCACCACCATGGCAGGCATGGAGACCAAGAAAGGTCTGGGGGACCATGCTAGTCTGGGGGTGTTGGGAGTACCTGGGAGGGGGAGGGCAAGGAGGGGCCCCAGAGTGGGCTCCTCGAAAGCCTTAGTCCCCACGGACACCTGCCCTGTGTCACCCCGTAGAGAAGGAGGACCTGTACATGCTTAAGAAGGAGGAGAAGGAGGAGCCAGTGGCTCCAGAGCTGGCAGAGCTGGCAGCGACAGTGCCTGAGAGTGCAGAGCCAGAGGCAGAGGCAGACGGGGAGGAGCTGGACGGCAGTGACATGTCAGCCATCATCTATGAGATCCCCAAGGAGCCTGAGAAGTGGGTGTCAGGTGGGCGGGGCAGGGCGAGGACTGGCTGGTGTGGGAGCCCTAATGCCATGGGCCTTCCTCTCCAGGAGGCGGAGGAGCAAGCGGTCACGGGTGATGGACGCCGACGGCCTGCTCGAGATGTTCCACTGTCCCTACGAGGGCTGCAGCCAGGTGTATGTGGCTCTCAGTAGTTTCCAGGTGAGGCCACCCCCCCAAACGGCTGGGCAGGGTCTGCTTCTGTGTTCAGCGGCCTGTGGCTGGTGGAGGGCCCCATCAGCCCCCAGCAGGTGCCATAGGCCTGCCTCCCATATGCCCACCCGCCTCCAGCATACCTGTCCTGCCTCACCAGCCACAGCCTCTCTGCATCCCCAGTGGCTGCCTGCTCCTGGCCTGGAGGCGCCCCCCTACTCTTGCTCTTCCAGCTGCCCAATCTCCTACTACCTCTGCCCACACCACCCTCTTGGCTCAGAATGCCCTTCTACCAGGAGGCCCACCCTGGTCTCCCAGGGTGCTAGGGCCTGCAAGCCTCAGGTCACTGTACCATCAAGACGTACCTGCAGGTTGCCCACTGGGTCTGGGACACCCTAAGGACAGAGACAGGGCCTTATCATATCCCCACTCTGGGCAAAGGAGGTGTCACAAGTTGGTCCTTGAATTTGCCAAATCATGTTTTCATTAAGCACATATTGAACACCTACCATTGCCAAGCCTGGTGCTGGGCACTGAAGCTACAGGTGTACTAGTGAGCTAAAGAACAAACGAAGACCCAGCCAGCGTGGCTCAGTGGTTGAACATCGACCTATGAACCAGGAGGTCACGGTTAGATTCCCAGTCAGGGCACATGCCCGGGTTGCGATCCCCAGTGTGGGGGGTGCAGGGATCAATGGTTCTCATCATTGATGTTTCTATCTCTCTCTGTCTCTTCCTCTCTGAAATCAATAAAAACATATTTTAAAAAAACAAAGGAAGGAGTGATTGAGGGCTTTCTGCTCCAGGCCCTGGGAGCAGTATAGCACCGTGGCAAAGGAGCCTGCTGTGGACTGACAGCCCTAGAATCCAGTCCCAGCCCTGCCACTGCCCAGCTGTGAGACACCAGGCAAACTACTGAGCCTCTGGAGACTCGGTTTCCCCATCCATAAACTGGGCTAATGGCAGGGCCCCTCACGGGGTTATGACAAGATTCACTGATGCCCTAACCCAGAGCCTGGCTGGAGTAGGTGCTCAGTAAAACTGATCCCAGCGTCCCTGGACTCCAACTCGAAGCTGGCACCCCTCTTCCCTCCTCCAGTGAAGTTGCCCCAGCCTGCCTCCCAGCAGCCCTCACCTGTCCCTATAGCACCCTCAGCACCACTCCTGCCCCTCTCGTCTCCAGAACCATGTCAACCTTGTGCATCGAAAAGGGAAGACCAAAGTGTGCCCTCACCCTGGCTGTGGCAAAAAGTTCTATTTATCCAACCACCTAAGGCGACACATGATCATCCACTCAGGTAAGGCCCTAGGGCACAGGGGCCTGGGCCTTGGAGCCAGAGCGGGTTCAGGCAGGGTCAAGCCTGGGCACAGAACTGCCTTTCTCAGTTTTCTACCTGTCCCCCACATGGACTAGCTTGAGATGGTGGAAGTAAAGCACTTAACCTGGAGCCCACGGGCACCTCCCTGAGGCTGCACTGCTGGAACTGTCAAGAGAGCAGAGCGAGATTAAAGAGTGAGCTGCACAAGCCACAGTGACACGGACTGTCACAGCTCATGTGGAGCTAGGCCCATTGGCCGCCTGACTCCTGCAAGCAGATCTCATGCTGGAGCAGTTCCAGGGCTGAACCACCCTGCAGGGGCATCAGGCTAGGGACAGGGCCTCTGTTCCTTCTGCTCCAAACACCTCCTTGACCCAGAGTGTGGGCTGCGACACAGCGGCCAGCGCTGGTGCCTGTGCCCAGCAGGAGGGCGTGGATTTGGATTTTTTTGAGACCAGAACTTTGGATTTTTATGTGAAATTGCTCCAAAGTCCAAATATTGGGGTCAGATTCAAACCCATCTGCACCCTGTGCTCCTCAGGAACCGGAGTTCACATTCCATCTCTGCCTGGGGCGTTCCTGGGCAACGGCCATGAGCCTCCCCTTTCTTAGTCCCTCTGGTTATTAGACTTGACATTCAGGCCTGGAGAGTGGGGGGGTTTGGTTCATCTGCGCCCTCCCTGGTCTCTCTAGTGCAGCGGAGACACTCCACAGCCCCCTCCCCAAGGGCGGAGTCCTCAGCCTGTGTTTCCCCCAGGTGTCCGGGAATTCACCTGTGAGACCTGTGGCAAGTCCTTCAAAAGGAAGAACCACCTGGAGGTACACCGGCGCACACACACCGGGGAGACACCCCTGCAGTGAGTGACAGGCGTCCCAAGAGGGTACTAGGAGGGAGGAGATCCAGGCCTGGACCCGCACAGAGCAGGCCCCACAGGCGAGCTCCACCCTGGGGTTGCCATACCAAATTCCATCTGCACTCCAGTCCCAGATGGCGCCAGCCCTTTCTGGGGCCGGCCCTGCCCTCTCTGACTGTGCCCTGACTCCTGGCAGGTGCGAGATCTGCGGCTACCAGTGCCGACAGCGTGCTTCGCTCAACTGGCACATGAAGAAGCACACAGCAGAGGTGCAGTACAATTTCACGTGTGAGCGCTGCGGGAAGCGTTTCGAGAAGTTGGACAGCATCAAGTTCCACACTCTCAAAAGCCACCCAGACCACAAACCCGCCTGACCCACCCTACCACTGACCGTCCCTATTTATTTGTCCACTCTGATGCCACTCCTGGGCCTCCTGGGCCCGGACTACCATGGGGGCCACCCCGCAGGCCGGAAGGTGATGCCCCTGCCCCACCCCAGGGCTGGGCCCGCCCCCCCGCCCCCCTTCTCTGGAGCTGGCAATTGGGGCTGCACTGCTGGAACTGTGTCAAGAGCAGAGTGAGATTAAAGAGTGAGAAAGTAGATGCCCTCCCCCTAGACCTGGATGATTTGGGGGTGAGGGAGGTCTCTTCTTCAACCTGGTCCCTTCCTGAGCAAGGCCTGGGGTAAGGGTAGGAGGTAGGGGAAGTCATACGGGCAGACCAGGGACCTTTCCCTCTGCCTCAGTTGCCTGGGCAACCCTGAACACTTCCTCCTCACAGGGTCAGGGCTGGGGGTTTGGGAACCCAGGGAAGCCACTTGACATCTCCCAGGACTCGATCCTGACTCAGTGCTAATTTCTCATGGGTCACTCATTCCCCACCCTAGAGAGGTCAGGGACCAGTTGGGGAGATGTTCAGTAAACCCTTAAGACATCTATGGCTGAGACAAGCACCATGCAGAAAATAGTATGTTAGTTTTTGGGGGTGCTGTTTAGGTCAGTGGTCAGATGGTATTTGAACATAGATCAGAATGACAAAAAGGTTCTATCCCAGAAGAAAGCTGAGGAAGGCAAGTCCCAGGCTGAAGGAACAGCCGGTGCCAAAACCCCGAAGTAGAATGGGCTCGGAGTGTTCCTGGAACAGGAAGCCGCGGGGGAAGGGAGTTGGCATGGGCAGGGCGGCTGCTCTGGTCCCATTACCTGGAGGAGGATACTGAGGCCACCTCCTCATCCCAGGGAGAGGGGTGGGGAGTGAAATCAGGCTACACAGCCGCCAGGTGGCGCACAAGCTGCATGGGCCAGTATGGCCGCAGCCACGTGACCCGGGGGACCACAGCCGCGAGCAGGAAAAGTGCCCTGGGGGAGCCCCCAGCAGCTCCTCACCAGTTCTTGGAGCTGGGCCGCAGCTAAAGCCTCATTTTACACTTCTCATTGGGGTCTACTCCAGCCAGGGACAGAAGTGTCGGCGCGGAAGAGCGAGTCCCCTCTCCCCCCAGGCTCAGTCCTCTTAGTTGTCTCCGCACAGCGGGAGCCAGCAGTTTCCATGGGAACCGCAGTCGGGTCTGCGGGTCCAGGAGTAGCCCCTTACAGGCCAAGCCCAGCTTCTGATCTCACTGGAGTCGGGAGGATCATGGGGTGGGGAACAAGCCCATGATCGCTTGGGGTCTCTAGAGTCAGCAGCCACATTGCCCTGCCAAACCCTAGAAGGGCCACTCGGCCCGCATCGCCACCGCCCAGGCTGTGCGGGCCACTATGATTGGCTTCCCTCTCCATCAGCGTGGCCTCGCGCTCTGCTGCTCGGGTTCTCATTGGCTCAACCTCGAGGGTGTCCTCCTGCAATTCGTTCTTGTGAGGGCCGTCCCTGATTGGTCAAAATGGGCTCTCCTCGCTGGGTTTGACGACACGCTGGGACAGTCTGGAGGCTAAAAGGAAGTGCTGGGACGAGATTAGGGTGGGGGCTGCCACTCTGGTTTAGCGGGTCGTGGCTATCCAGCCCACAAGAGCGCTGGTTGGGGCCATCAGGCCGCTGTCTGTGGTGCTGAAGGCCGTCCGACGTAAACATGCACAAAAGGTGATGTGCCGCCTTCTATCGCCTTAGTAGCGTCCAGGTTCCCCCAGCAGAGCGGGAGATGACTCCGCGGGCGAACCAATCGTGAGCTCGGAAAGCCAGGACATTCACCTAGCAGATCAGCCCACCCCAAGTTTATGTTGTCCCAGGGCTGCAGGGCACCAGCAAGGTTTGCCTCAATCCTAAGTCCCAAACCTCGTTCCCCACTTTGCAGCAGTGCCAAGTGCCCCTGCATTGTGGGGTGCCAGTCCACAGTCTTTGAACCCTAGAGACACCTAACCCACAGGGTCCCAGTTCCTTCTGCAGGCAGACTAGGACCCCCAGCCATCCTCACCTTCCTCCCTTGGCATTAAGAGGCTACACCTGGTCCCTCCAAATCTGGGGACCCAGGCCTTTGCCTATTGAAGTCTTGGATCCTTGTCCCTTTCCAGTCTTCTTGTGGACAGCACCTCGGGAAGGTCGTACAATGGGCCACAGATACCTCCTCTCCCTCTTCGCTCCTCCAGCTCCAGGTGCTGGACAGAGGAGAGCCTGCCCTGTCTTCCGGTTAGAAAGCCCTTCCTAAAAGGGGTGCTCGGGCAGGAAGTAGGGTTCGCGGAGTCAAAAGAGCCGGAATCTGGCAACACGAGTCCCCAGAAAGCGAGTCCGGGCCAGCGCGCGCTCGCTTCCACCTGCCGCGCCGTCGGGCGCCGCGAGGAGGTGGGGCTTGGTTGCTGCAGCCAATGAGCGACGCCGGCGCTGGCAGCTGCAGATATAAAGGGCTGGGGGCGGCGGCGGCGCGGCCCAGATCGCGGAGCGCGCAGCGCGGGCCGGAGGGTGGGAGGGAGGGCGGGCGAGGGAGAGGACTGAGCACCCAGAACCCGACCGGCCGGGCTGAGGGGCAGCGGCGAAAGGCAGAGCGCCGCGATCTCTGTTGGAAAGCGCAAACTCCCCGGGCCCCGCGGGGCCGTGCAGGGGGCCTTCTCATCCCGCGCCCGCTCCCTCTTTTCATCCTCTGCCGCCCGCAGACCACTCCGGGCTCGGTTATCCGCGCGCGCGCCCCCGGGCTCGGGCCCGCCTCCGGCCTCGAGGGAGCCGCCGCCTTCACCGACACCTCTGCAGCGGCCGCGCCTGAGGCCGCCCGGGTAGGATCCGGGCGTGAGCATCGAGCGCCCCACGAGTGCGCGACCCCCGGAGCCGCCCCCAGCACGGACCGCGCCCGCCGGGCACACAAGAATGGTCACTGTAGGTATCCCCTGTCGCCGAGAGGGAACCTCGTCGGGAAGGGGCTAGGCTCGGGCTCCGCGGAGATGGAGGTTGGGGGGGGCGGGGGTAGGACCAGGCCTCGCTAGGCCCGGTTGGGTGGGGGGGGTAGGACCGGTCCTCGGAGCCTGAGAGTGGGCAGCGCCGCGCCCAGAGTGCTGAGGGCGCTTAGAATCTGACCGAGAGGCCTCGGGGAGCCAGGCTGCGATTCGGGGCATCCTACGACGCCCTGGGGGCGGGATTGCCCCCTCCAGCATGCCGGATGGGGGAGGGGCCGCCGCGGTGGCGGATTCCTCCTCCATCCAGGCCTGGACCCCGCAGGCCGCCCAGGCAAACGCAGGGCCCCAGTCACGGATGCTGGGCCAGGACACGGCGTCAAGGCAGCCCCGAGAGCCCCGGGAGGTGGTGGCGTCGGATCGCGCGCCCCCGGCCTCGGCCGCGCCCGGGATCCGGGCATCTCGTCCTCGAGCCCGTCGACCTTGCGGCAAGCGGGGAGGGGAGAGGAGGGGGCGCGCCCGGAGGCCCCGCGGGCCCGCCACCGCCGCCGCCGCGTCTCTTTGTTTCTCGGCGTTTCTTCGCGGGCCAGAGCATCGCGCGGGCGCTTCAGGCTGTGGGAGGGGGAGGGGAGAGGAGGGCCCGCGGGGAGGGCTTCCCGGCTGTTGGGTCCTCTATCCCGCGGAATGGGGTAGGGGACGTAGGCAGGCCCCCTAGACCAGGGCCGGGCGCCGCACCCCGCCAAGGCTCTGGGCCGCGGGGTGACCTTGAGCGCGCCCGCCCGCCCGCTCCACTCGCCCGGCTCCCGGTGTTTTCAGCAGCCAAGGAGCTGGTCAGCTCCCCAGCGCGCGACCACGCCCGACCACACCCGACCTGGCCCCGCCCCCGCCCCGCCCATCTATGCCCCGCCCCCAGGGCCCCGGGGGGCCCGGCCTCGCCCGAGCCCTCGGATTTCCTGTAGGCATCCCAGGCATCTCCCGGGGCGGGGCTGGCCAGTTCTCGCCCAACCCCGACTCCACCCCCGCCACCGTGGAGCCACTGTGCTCCCGGTGCTGCCGCGCGTCCTTTGTCTGGTCCCAGCGCCCTGGCCGTCTTCCGCCCTTCCAGTCTCGGCTCTGTGTGTGCTGTGCATATGGGTGTGCATGTGCCTGGGCCTCTTTCAGTCCTGGCCAGCACAGTGGGTAGGGGGATGCTCAGCACTCCCCGCTGGGCCCTGGGGCCCGCCCACCTGCCTCTGAAAAATAAGGCTGGAGAGTCCACACTTTCCTGCTGTGTGACCTCAAGCCAACGCCTTCCCCTCTCTGGGCCTCACACTGCTCATCCAAGTTCAGGAAAGTGAATGTGGCTTCCTGGGGACCCTCAGAACCCCTACATCCATTCTCCTCTGATCTGTTCCCTCTTTTGAAAAAGGGAAACATGCACAAAGAGGAGAGGGTGTGGTCAGAGGTCACTGGAGGGCCTTGGAGGCTCGGTTACTCCAATAGAGGGCACTCAGGCAGAGACCCGCCATAGGGACAGGCTGGCAGGAAGTGAGGGGATAAATTGAGACAGTGAGGGCCCTGCATGGAGAGAGAAAGGCCCAGAGTGGGAGGCTCAGTTAGCACCACGTGGTGGCTCAGCCTCACCATGCATAGCCACTCAATGCCCTATTGTCACCGGTATCCAAGCATCTGTCACTGTGACTGGGGCCCCGGGGTGCAGCTGGGGCCAAGGGGGTCAGACACTGGAGAGTCTACACAGCAACTGACCGCAGGTGTGTTCACTGCGTAATATGTATGTCAGATATATGTGCAACGGTGCAAAAAAGTTGGAGAAAGATTGAGAGAGAGGGATGGGGAGACAGCTGTTCAGAGAGGAGAGGTGAACAGAGGGTGGGAAAGGCGAGAGAAAGGGAGAAAGATCCCCAGAGGAAGAGCTGGGGAGAGGAAGGTTCCGTTGCTCCCAGTGGGCACCTGCCTCCCCATCCCAGGCCCCCTCCCTCGTTAACCCCCACTTCCTGACCTGGAACAGCCCTCCGAGGCCCCTGTGACCCCCATGTCATATCAGACCGTACATTTGCCGCGGACTGGAGCAGGGTGGGTGTGACCTCCACCAATCTGATCCCCATTAGCAGCTTAGCCGGCTCAGCCATGGAGGAAGCGCAGGTGACACTGATCCCACTAAGCTCGGGCACAGACGGGAGGGAGATGTGGTGGTGGTGAGATTCACAGGCTGAGGCTCAAGATCCGAAGTAGAAATCACCCAATCGCCTCTTTTTTTTAAAAAAAAAATATGCTTTATTGATTTTTTACAGAGAGGTAGAGAGAGAGAGATAGAGAGTTAGAAACATCAATGAGAGAGAAACATCAATCAGCTGCCTCCTGCACACCTCCTACTGGGGATGTGCCCGAAACCCAGGTACATGCCCTTGACCGGAATCGAACCTGGGACCTTTCAGTCCGCAGGCCGACACTCTATCCACTGAGCCAAACCGGTTTCGGCCCAATCACCTCTTTTTTTTTTTTTTTTTTTTTTTTAAATATATATATATTTTATTGATTTTTTACAGAGAAGAAGGGAGAGGGACAGAGAGTTAGAAACATCGATGAGAGAGATCGATCAGCTGCCTCCTGCACGCCCCCCACTGGGGATGTGCCCGCAACCAGGGTACATGCCCTTGACTGGAATCGAACCCGGGACCCTTGAGTCCGCAGGCCAACGCTCTATCCACTGAGCCAAACCGGTTCGGCCAATCACCTCTTTTTAAAATTGATTTTAGAGAGAGACATTAATGTGAGAAAGAAACATTGCCTCCTGCATGCACCCTGACTGGGGATCGAACCTGCAACCTGGGTATGTTCCCTGGCCAGGAGTCAAACCCGCCTCCTTTTGGAGTACAGGATGACACTCCAACCAACTGAGCCACACAGGCCAGGGCCCCAATCACCTCTTAATCCCCTCCAAGTTGAGTACAGCATTTGGGGTGGGGGGGAATCTGTAACCCAGTAGGCTTTGGGGTTATCTGGTCAGGAGTCAAATCGTGACGGTATCACCACCACCTCCCCCAGTCACCCTGGGCAAGTCACAGGTCCTCTGTCCCTTGTTTTTCCATCTGAGGAGTAGAGACAATGTCTCCTACTTTCTGTGTGGTTGTGGGAAGTCAGTGAAAACTTTGCAGTTGTTTAGTGTCAGACACATAGTAGGGCTTCCAAAGCTGGAACCTGGAATGTCCTGAAACAGGGCCGTGTACTGCTGAATGCTCATCCAGCTCCCATAGGCATTATCAACTGATTGCAGAACCCTGTCTCACTGAGCCAGGGCAGAAATTCAGAATCTATCTCCAGACACGGGGACCTCCGTTCCTTTAGTGGAGGGACAGAGGTCCAGAGAGGCAATGTGAGTGTCAGAGGACACACAGTGAGGAGGGGGGGGGGGCAGCAGGTGGCACCCAGTAAATATTTGTTGAATTGAATGAGTAGTAAATGCAGCCTACACAGCGGATTTCTATGTAGTGATGCCCGGGCGTGGCAGAGAGTGGGTGCTCAGCTTCACTTTACGTTATTATTTTTACTATTATTGGCCTTTTCATTAGGAAAGTGGGCTCTGGAGTTCAAACCCTGGATTTGAATTCTTGGTCCATCATTTGCCTGCTGTCCAACCTTGGACAAGTCCTATCCCTTCACTGATGCTGTTTCCTCATCTGTTACATGAAGAAAGAGTCCCCTAACATTCAACATTGGGAAAATTGCATGGAAATTCTCACAAAGAATTTTGTCTGGCACATAACAGGCACTCGATACATGGCCATGTTATTCGTAAAGTGTTAATGTTAGGAAGCGGGATGCAGGTCCATGGAGTGTGTGTCACTGTTTACTCCCGGTGCCTATGGCAGACATTGCTAATCACCCCAGTATGTGTTCCTGTTCAGCCCAGATGTGGCTTCAGAATAATCCTCCCAGCAGCCCCAGGCAGCCAATCTCAGCCCCCTGGAGATTCAGAGGGCTCGATCTTCTGTGCCACCCTTTTTTAATAAGAATCAATGGAAAGGAAGGAGAGGCCCAAAGAAGAGCTAAGATGATCCCTGAGGACACACAGTTCCCAGGTGGCAGAGCCGCCCCACTGGATTGGCCACAATCATTAAAAACAGCTTTGAAGCCGGCTGGCGTGGCCCAGTGGTTGAGCATCGACCTATGAACCAGGAGGTTAGGGTTTGACTCCCGGCCAGGGCACATGCCTGGGTTGCCGGCTCAATCCCCAGTGTGGGACGTGCAGGAGGCAGCTGATCTATGACTCTCTCTCATCTGATGTTTCTGTCTCTCTCTTGCTCTCCATTCCTCTCTGAAATCAATAAAAAGATATATTTTTAAAAAACAGCTCTGAAGTCTGACACAAGGAAGTTTGAAATGGAGTCCCCCATTTATATCACTCAACACCTCTGAGCTCAGCTTCCGTGCTTGTAAGATGGAGAATGTGTTGCTGTCTTTCAAACTTGTTGAGAGCCTGGCTCAGCAATTGGGCATTGACCCATGAACCAGGAGGTCACTGGTTTGATTCCAGGTCCGGGCACATGCGGGGGCAGGGGTTGCAGGCTGGATCCCCAGTAGGGGGTGTGCAGGAGGCAGCCAATCGATGTTTCTTTTTTTAAAAAATCTTTATTGTTGAAAGTATTACATACGACCCCCCCCCCCCCCCGCCATTAACCCCTTCCAGCCATCCCCGCACCCTGTCCCAGGCTTTCACCACCTAATTGTCTGTGTCTATGGGATCGATGTTTCTCTGTCTCTATCCCTCTGCCTTCCTCTCTCTCTAAAAATCAATAAAGGGAAAAAGAATGGTTGAGAGAAATAAATGAAATGATGCCTTGAAGTGCATCACACAGTGCTTAACACATGGTAGACGCTCTGTGGAGCGGGATGATTATTAATAGCAGGATCATGAGGCATGGGTGGCAGACATGGCTAACTGGCCCCAGAATGCTTTCCAGCCGCACCCACATGTAGCTTAGATCCTTCCCAAGCCGCTGGGACAGTCATTTGAAGTTTTTGGCGAAGCAGAGAAGAGGCTCAGAAGCCATAGTGGCATACCTGAGGACGCAGCTGGGAAGTGTTAGAGCAGCGCTAGGTTGGCAGTGGGTTTGGAAACACAGACTCTGGATCAGAAAGGCCCATGTGCAAACCCCGCCTCCCGCTCCATCACTTATAGGCTGCAGGGCCTTCGGTAATTTTCCAAACATCACTGATGCCCGCTTTCTTTCTAATATATTTTTATTGGTTTCAGAGAGGAAGAGAGAGAGAGAGGCATCAATGATGGGAGGGAGTCATTGATTGGCTGCTCCTGCACGCCCCCTACTGGGGATCGAGCCCGCAACCTGGGCATATGCCCTTGACCGGAATTGAACCCGGGACCCTTTAGTCCGCAGACCAACACTCTATTCACTGAGCCAAACCGGCTAGGGCGATGCTCACTTTCTTTATCTGTTGTCTTAGCTCAGATCGCTATAAAAACATGGCATAAACTGTGTGGCTTAAACACAAACATTTATTTCTCCTAGCTCTGGAGGCTGGGTAGTCCAATTTCAAGGTGCCAGCGGATTCAGTTCCTGGTGAGAGCTCACCTGCTGGTTTGCAGACAGCTGTCTTGCTGTGTCCTCACATGGTGTAGAGAGAAGTCATCTCTCTCCTGTCCCTTTGTGTAGCACACAAATCCCGTGCATGCGGGCTCCATCTTCATGACCTAATTACCTCTAAGGCCCCACCCCTAAATATCACCTTGGGGGTTAGGGTTTCAACATAGAATTGGGGGGGGGGGCACAGCATTTAATCCATAACATGTTAAGCAGAGGGAATAAAACCCTCCTCTTTTTAGGGCAGTTGTGAATAAGAAAAGAAAAACTGCCTGTAGAGGGCTTTGCTTTTTGCCTGGCATAGAGGGAATGCTATTTGGGAACAATTACAGTATTGTATTTTGGGTCAGGGATGACTGAGATGATGTGTACCTGCTGACTGAATTCATCTAGCAAGACCCTGCCAATCAATTTGAGTTTTCAGGGGCGGGCAACCTATTCACCAACTGCGTCGTAAGAGAAGACCTACGGAATGCTGGCCACTTTACCTTCCCGTGCCCATCACAGACACCACCCGTCAATCCAGCACTCTTCCCTTCTGGGCCCAGATGTGGCTTTAAAGTTCTTGATGTGGGCCTTAGATATAAAATAGATGTAGAATATATTTTAAAGTTGTTAAGAGAGTAGGTATTAAAAGTTCTCATCACAAAAAAAAAAATTTGTAGCTATGGATGGTGGTGGATGTTAACTGGACTTACTGCGGAGATCATGTTGCAATATATACAAATATTAAGTCATTATGTTGTATGTCTGAAACTAATATAATTTTATATGTCAGTTATATCTCAATTTAAAAAAAGAGATGTAGGAAAAGAACAGTAAAATTTAACATCCATTATATTTATTTATTTATTTTAACATCCATTATATTTAAAAATATATATTGTTCGGATACTAGGAATAAAATTAAACATTTATTTTTTAAAATTAAAGATCCTTGCCGAAACCAGTTTGACTCAGTGGATAGAGCGTCGACCTGCGGACTGAAAGGTCCCAGGTTCGATTCCGGTCAAGGGCATGTACCTGGGTTGCGGGCACATCCCCAGTAGGAGATGTGCAGGAGGCAGCTGATCGATATTCCTCTCTCATCGGTGTTTCTAACTCTCTATCTCTCTCCCTTTCTCTCTGTAAAAAATCAATAAAATATATTTAAAAAAATAAAAAATAAAAAAAATTAAATTAAATTAAAGATCCTTAACCTGATAAAGGCCATTTACAAAAAAAAAAAAAAAAAAACTACAGCAAAGGTCATATTTAGCTGTGAAATGTTTAAAACATTTCCTTTAAAATCAGAAATAAAGAAGATATTATCACATTGTAACCCCTGCACTAAGACAAGAAAAATAAATAACAGATTGGAGATAAATAAAACTGTCATTGTTTGCGGGTGTTAAGTTTATACTTTTTTTAAAAAAAAAAGCTAATCCCAGCTGGCATGGCTCAGTGTTTGAGCGTTGACCTATGAACTAGGAGGTCACGGATTCCCAGTCAGGGCACATGCCCAGGTTGCAGGCTCCATCTCCAGTAGGGGGACCTGCAGGAGGCAGCCGATCAATGATTCTCTCTCATCATTCATGTTTCTGTCTTTCTCCCTCTCCCTTCCTCTCTGAAATCAGTATATATATATTTAAAGCTTAGTGGAAAAACTGGGGGTGCTCTGGCTGGTGTGGCTCAGTGTCATTCAGTGCATCAGAGGGTCCCTGGTCCCATTGCTGGTCAGGGTGCAGGATGCAGGAGGCAGTGGATTAATGTTTGTCTCTCCCGTCGATGTTCTCTCTCCTCCCTCTCTCTCCCTCTCCCCCTCTTCCGTCCTCTCTTTAAAATTAATAAAATGTATTTTTTTTTAAAAAAAAAAGAGGAAAAACTGGGTGTAAATGCCTAGCAGGAAATTTATGCACAAAATGTCAACACATTTGGGATAGGAATTACCTTCGGTGGGAGAAGGAAAGTACAGGGGCAGGGAGAAACTTGTGAGAAAGGGCTGCAAAGCTAATAAAAATGTTATATTTCTTATTCTGAAGACAAAGGTGTTCATTACAGGCCTAGCCAGTTTGGGTCAGTGGATAGAGCCTCGGCCTGCAGACCGAAGGGTCCGGGGTTTGGTTCCGGTCAAGGCCGTGTACCTCGGTTGCAGGCTCCTCCCCAGCCCAGGCCTTGGTCCGGGCACATGCAGGAGGCAACCAATCGATGTGTTTCTCTCACATTGATATTTCGAGCTGCCTTTCCGTCTCTCTTCCACTCTCTCTAAAAATCAATGGAAAAATATCCTCCGGTGAGGATTTTTAAAAAAAGTGTTCAAACATAGGTTGGCTTTAGACAAACAGGGAAACATATATACAAAGAGCCATATATGGCATTTATATGTGGAATTTTTTCACAGTAAAACCATATGTTAAGTGCTTTGCTCGGTGCTCAGGGAGTGGAAGGGGTTATTAGAATAATGTGACGCCCTCTCCCCATGTTCAAGCCCATGTCAGACGTGAGTGATCCATCGCCTCCGAGCCCCTCCTCACTCCCCTGGTCTCCTGGGGACTGGGCCGTGAGTGGGTGTGGCCTGTTGTCTCCAGCAGATACTCGGGGCCATGGAGTCTCAGGTGGCAGGGGGCCCGGCCGGCCCGGCCCTGCCCAATGGGCCACTCCTTGGTACAAACGGAGCCACTGATGACAGCAAAACCAACCTCATCGTCAACTACCTGCCCCAGAACATGACCCAGGATGAGTTCAAGAGCCTCTTCGGCAGCATTGGTGACATTGAGTCCTGCAAGTTGGTTCGGGACAAGATCACAGGTGTGGCTGCTGGCAGGTGGGGAGATGGACGGGGGAGGTGGTAGCCTCCAGGACAGGTGTGATGGGGCCAGTGGTGCTCTGGAGATTTCTGAGGTGTGGCTAGGAGCCAGGTGTGACCCCAGGTGGGGACGAGGAGGGGGTGGTCGGCCTCTCACACCTGGGTCAGGGAGGATCCTGGCAGGTGCAGGGCGGTGGGTCATGGACCTGGTCCTGCACACAGGGCAGAGCCTCGGCTACGGGTTTGTGAACTACTCTGACCCCAACGACGCAGACAAAGCCATCAACACCCTCAACGGCCTCAAACTACAGACAAAGACCATCAAGGTGGGTGCCCTGTCCCCTTGCCGCCTGTCCCCCTATCCCGTTAGTGCCCATCCCAACTGCCCCATGTCCCCTTTCCACTGCCCACAGGACCACCCTGTCACTGCCATCCATCCATCCTCCCCGCTCACCCCCCGAGAGGTTTAATCTCCCCCAAGGCTTTCTGGTTAGCCAGCCCGGGGCCCAATGCCTTTGCCTCTCTGAACCTCAGTCTCCTCGCATGTCAATGGGGAGAATATTAGCCCCCATATTCTGTGGGGGTTCACAGAGGTGCCCTCCAACTGGCACTAGGAGGGAATGACAGGGGTCCAGTGGGCAGCCCCCTCCCTGCCTTTGTTAGGGAAATGGGGGAAGGGTGGGGATCCATCTGCCATCTGGAGCCTAATTAGGGTCTGGGAGGGCGGGATTAGGGGCGGGCCACTCCCCCACCTTTGTGCAATGCCCCTCCCCCCACGACCTCCCCTCTCAGCAGCTGCAGCTGGGACCCTGGGAGCCCAGGTTCCCTGGGGGGGTTGCCATGGAAACTCCTCTCTCTAGGTTGCCTGGAGTGTCTGGGCTCCACCCCACAAATCTGCTCCTGAACCCTGGGGGAAGGCGGGCCGGTGGGGCACCCATCTGGCCCCCAGTTCGCCATGGAAACAGAGGTGTGGGAATCTCTTCCTCTCCCTGGGGTGGGGCAAGGTCGTGACCTAATGGCTCTCTCTCTCTGCCAACTAGACCCCGAAGCCCCCAAGCATGAGGGTGGACTCTATAATGAGCTGTAAGACCATGTGTGTGTGTGACCCTCTGTGAGACGGTGTTTGTTGGACACCGTGGCGATGTGAGTGGCTGTCACATAGGCCCAGCTATTGTAGACTTCGGGTGTGTTACTGCGTCTATGGGACGTTTCCTATTTGACAGGCACTTTGTCTCACACTGCCACTCCGGCTGTGGCCTGGTGGGGCCTCATGGGTGTGTCTGGCTGTGATGGAGTGTTTGTATGTCACAGTGAAGTGTGGTTATGGCTACCGGTGCCCCACTCAGGGTGGAACACGTGTGATGCTATAGGCTGGCGCGGTGGTATGACAGGCGTGTGCAACTCTATCCTTATCCAAGATCCTCAGCGTTGCCATGAAGGTGGCCAAGGCCTTGTGTTACCCTCTGCCTGTACACTGGCTAGCACACTGGCCCTGTGTGTGTGTGTGTGTGTGTGTGTGTGTGTGTGTGTGTTTCTGTCTGTCTGTCTGCCAGAATGGCTGTGTTGTATGGTCAGCCTATGTGTTCCAGCAGATTCTGCCCAAAATAATTCCAGCCCCCCACTGTGTGCCAGGCACCGTCCTAGTTGGCGGGGGGAGGGGGGGAGACCCAGGTTAGCTCACATGATGGAAGGACCTACTCTGTTCCTCAGATGACACCTGACCAGGAGCTCAGACCCCTCTTCTGGTCAACCCAACTTCAACCCATCAACAAGTCCTCAACCCGTCCTCACCCCTCAAAGTTCACAGACCTGTGGTGGGGGGAGTAAAAATTGTAAAATACATGGCGGGCGTGATTTTTAGTTATCATTACAGAAATAATAGCAGCGGATGTGTTTCCTTTTTTTTTTTTTTAAGATTTTTGATTGCCTTTTTTGGGAGAGAGAGAGAAACAGTGATGCAAGAGTGGAACATTGATCGGCTGCCTTCTGCACGCCCCCAACTGGGGATCGAACCATGCAACCATTAGGTGCACGGGATGACACCCAACCAACTGAGCCACACTAGCCAGGGCTGATGTGTTTGTTTTTTGTTGTGGTGGTTTTTTCTGGAGAACCCCAGGTGTGCACAATTCATTAGAATGCCCCCACCCCACCCCATGAGCACCCTCACCCTGATCCACCCTCAGCCCAATTTATTCATTTTGTTAGTTTTTAAATTAGCTGTTTCTAATGAAGTAGCCCTCACAACTCACAGCCTCAAACAAAAACCAGACCCTTGACAATGACCCCTATCTTCCCTGAGGTTATTTTAGAAGCAATAGAAATATAGATATCGGCAGAAATCAAGGGAGAGGAGTCACGGCACTCCCTGCCCCCGCCAGCTATGGGTCACCCTGTTAGCACTGGGGGTGGGCCCTCTGGTCCACGTTCCCAGGACATTGATAGACACACAATGAGATGGGGTCACACAATCCTCGCTGCTCTATAAATGGACTTTTTCTTTCCTCCACTTCACAATACTCACCACTGTTTCAGGAAAATCAATATCCACGTCCCCCGTTTTTTGAATAGCTGCAGAGAGTTTCATTGTTGGGCCGGACCCATTAGTGACACGAATCTAAGGATCCTGCTCACGTGTGTCTGATTCGCAAGGAGGTTGTACTAAAATGTGTCTAATGCCAAGAGAAGTGCTGTGAGAGAAAGTAACCTGGGTAGGACATTTCAACGGAGACCTAGAGAAGAAGACAAAGGAAGAGAGTTCCAGGCAGAGGGAACAGCCCATGCAAAGGCCGCGAGGCAGGACCATGCCTGGTGTTTGGGGAACAGGATGAGGCCTGTGTGACTGGAACACACGGGGGAAGCGGGTGGAGATGAGGCTGGCGGCGAGGCGGTAGATGGCCTTGCGGACCATGGGGCGGACTTGAACTCCGAAGAGCAAGGGAGCCATGGATGTTCTGAGCTGAGGAGTGAGGTGACCTGGCTCAGATGGTCATGGTGCCCTCTGGCTGCTGTGTGGGGATCGGAGCGGGGACCAGGGCAGAAGACTACGTCCTGGTAGGGTTAGCAGTGGTGGATACCGGTCCAAAGCGGGGAGATGCAAGTGGGAGGAAGGCCCTGCTGGGTGGCTCAGTTGGAGTGTCGTCCCATACACCAAAAAGTGGCGGCTTGACCCCCGGTTGGGCTGCATGCAAAAGGCAACCAATCGACGTTTCATTCTCGTATGGATGTTTCTTCCTCTCTCTCAAATCAGTTTTTAAAATAATCTATGTTTATTGATTTCAGAGAGGAAGGGAGAGGGAGAGAGAGATAGAAACATCAATGATGAGAGAGAATCATTGATCGCACGTCCCCTACTGGGGATGAGCCCTGACCGGAATCGAACCATGACCTCTTGGTTCCTAGGTCGGCGCTCAACCACTGAGCCACATCAACCAGACTCTAAGATCAATTGTTAAAAAGCATGTCCTCGGGTGAGGATTTAAAAAACAAAGCAGGAGGAAGTATACAGATTCTGGATCATGAGAAGTAAAGTCAGCAGGACTGACGGTGGATCAGATGTGGGTGTGAAGGTCAGAGAGGCATCACAGACAACTGAGGCTGGGTCCTGAGCTGCCATTAGAGTCAGGCAAGTTGGGGGGAGTCGGGAGCCTGGAGGCAGGTGTCACAGGTGTAGAGAGGAGGGGCCAGATTTGTGCTGGGAACAGACATTTGCAAGTCGTCAGGTTTGAGGTGGTGGCTAAAGACCTGAGTGACTCAGGGGCCCAGTGCAGTCAGGAAAACAAGGGTCAGTGTCCCAGGCTCACTTTACAAGGGAGTGGGAGGCATTGTTGCTGACTGACGGGGTGTTCAGCGTGAGGGCATGAGCTAGGATGCAAGAGTCCCTGAGGTCTTGAGGGAGATGGGACCCCAGGTGTGTGGCTCCTTTGACCTCAGGTGTCAAGTCCCCCCATCACTAAGCAGACAGGCCCATGGCCAGGCCTCCCCCCCAAGTCCCGGTGGCCACAACCACGGTGACTCCTCAAGAGATATTTGTTGAGTGAACAGATGAAGCGTTTCTGTGACTCGGTGGTGGTTCTGACGGGGCCTCTCTCCCCCTTTCTGCGAAATGGGTCTTCCCCTCACACCTGTCGCCTGACCCTCCCCAGGTGTCCTATGCCAGACCCAGCTCTGCATCCATCCGGGATGCCAACCTGTATGTCAGCGGGCTCCCCAAGACCATGAGCCAGAAGGAAATGGAGCAGCTCTTCTCCCAATACGGTCGAATCATCACTTCCCGGATCCTGGTGGACCAGGTCACAGGTCAGGCCGCCGCGGAGGGTGCACCTGGTGAGGGCGCTGGGTGGAGGCACCAAGGCGAGACCAAAACAGAGAAATGGGGAATGGCAGGGCGGGAGTCAGGGGAGCAGGAGGGGCTCGCATGGGAGGAGGCCGGGTCCTCGTGACACCCTGGCTTCCTGCAGGTGTGTCTCGGGGTGTGGGGTTCATCCGCTTTGACAAGAGGATTGAGGCCGAGGAGGCCATCAAAGGACTGAATGGGCAGAAGCCGCTGGGTGCAGCCGAGCCCATCACGGTCAAGTTTGCCAACAACCCAAGTCAGAAGACGGGGCAGGCCCTGCTCACGCACCTTTACCAGTCATCGGCCCGGCGCTATGCAGGCCCCCTGCACCATCAGACACAACGCTTCCGGTGAGCCCCCCTGTCACCCCCAGTCCTGGGCACCCCAGGCCTGCAGGGCTAGGGACACCAGCACAGGCCCACATGCTGGGGCCCCTGAGGGCAGCAGAAGGGCAGCGTGGGGGCCTGCAGGTGTGAGGCCAGGCCCTTACAAGCAGCAGGTGCTCAGCGAGCGCAGGTTTAGAGTCACCTGGTCAGGTCCAGCTCCAGCTGCCCGCTCTGGCACGGGACTCGCACTGTCTGCCTCCGTTTCCTCATGCACATTTCGTGAGTGTGTACTGCAGGCCAGGCCCACGCCTTTGTCCTGCGCAGCAACCCCGTGAGAATGCAGCCTGTCTTGTCCCAGGCGATGGATGGGGCTCTGAAGTTCAGAGAGGCATGGTCACTGCCCAGCCCAGCCATTGTGGTGAAGGGATCAAACCTTCATGTCTGGGGACCTGAGCCCTACAGGGTGTGGCGGGCGGCTGAGAGGGAGGGTGAGGATGTGGCAGGGCAGGCAAGAGGCGGTGCCGGAGTGACCACGGTCCGTGCCAGGCGGTGTCCAGCCGGGCAGGCGGTGGGGGCAGGGCTGGCACTGTGGGCCTGCGGGGTGGGGGCAGGGAGGGCAGGCTGGCCGGCCTGCATCACAGCCGGGAACGCGCCTGGAGGCCACCGTGACCACCCCTTCTGCTCCACAGGCTGGACAACTTACTCAACATGGCCTATGGAGTCAAGAGGTAACAGTGCCCCCACCCCACTGCCCCCAGCCCCTCGCTGTCCCCTCTCAGACCCTTGCCCTGATGGACACCTCTCCACCTCCCCCCAGGACTGCCAGCTTAGTCCTGTCTGCACTGTCGGGGAGTAGCGTGCCCATTAGGAGATGCGGGGGCTGTGGAGCCCAGTAAATGCCCACAGAGAGCTACTATAGAATCTGGGCCCAGGGCCCTCCAGCCCAGTGAGGGGTGGGCAGTGCTGCCCGGGTCACAGCCACGCCCCCTGGTGCCCACGTCCAGCGGGAGTTCCACCTGCACTGTTGGTGGTCCTTGCTGAGGGTCACATCTGCCCCTTTTGCCCTGTGGTCAAGGAGGGCCCCCATGACATTGTCCACATCCCTGGCCCTGCGAACGTCCTGCATTTATTGCATCATGAGCTGCTGAGTGCACGCTGAGGACTGGCCCTGGCTGGTGGCTGGGTCCCCGGTGTGGCCCCGCCAGACTCGGTCCCCATGGAGATGAAATGATATTGAGCACAGTGCTTGGCACATAGTGAGCGCTCAATAAAGGTAGCTGCTCTGAAGATCATTGTTACTGTTATTAATTATCTAGTCTAGTGGGAAAGGAGACAGGTGCACAGTGACCAGGGAGGTGGAGGGGGTGATGGGACCCAGAGGGGCCCCAGCCATCGGAGGCAATAGCGGGGAAGCCGAGTTCCTGGCAGCAGGAATGGCCTGGGCGAGAGAGGGAGCAGTTAGTTCCAAAAGCTCAGAGTGGATGGCTCAGGCTCCGGCCCCACCCGGTCGAGTGGAACCAGGTGCCCACTGTGTCCGAAGCCCTGTTCTGGGCGGGGGCCCCACAGAAAACAAAACCTTTTAGGGAAGAGGGAGCCGATAGCAAATACACAGTTTACCCAGGAAACGGCCAGAGCGGGACAGGGAGCAGGTGGCCTCCTTATGGCTCAGAGGAGGCTCCGAAGGAGGTGACGGTGTGCTTAGCCCCGAATAGCAGTGGGCAGGCGCCTAAATGGCCACATCACACCTGGGCTCCCAGCGCTGCCCTTCTGGGCGGCCAGCAGGACACATGGGACAACGTGGCAGGGTCGGGATGGGGTCAGAGAGGGAGCCAGGGCAGGAGCTGGGTGGGAAGATGTGCCCAGGGTGTGGGGAAGTAGTCAGGGTCAACAGAGCCAAGGACCAAGTAGGGCCAAAGGTCATGGGGTCAGGATTCAGGGCTCAGGGCAGGACCAGAGGTGAGGAGAAGGGACAGGTCAGGGTGAAGACGGGGATGGGGCTGAAGGTGGGATTACAGGTGGAGGCCACAGCAGGGTCAGGACAATGCAGGGCTCACCAGAGTCCCAGGGCCAAGGCCCCATCAGAGGTCGCGGGTCGGGGGCATGCCGGGGGTCAGGGCAGAGCCCGCGTGACCCCCAAAGTAGTCCCCTGTCGCTCATCGCCAGGTTCTCGCCCATCGCCATCGACGGCATGAGCGGCCTGGCGGGCGTGGGCCTGTCGGGGGGCGCCGCGGGCGCCGGCTGGTGCATCTTCGTGTACAACCTGTCTCCGGAGGCGGACGAGAGCGTGCTGTGGCAGCTGTTCGGGCCCTTCGGGGCGGTCACCAACGTCAAGGTCATCCGCGACTTCACCACCAACAAGTGTAAGGGCTTCGGCTTTGTCACCATGACCAACTACGACGAGGCGGCCATGGCCATCGCCAGCCTCAATGGCTACCGCCTGGGCGAGCGTGTGCTGCAGGTGTCCTTCAAGACCAGCAAACAGCACAAGGCCTGAGCCACCTCCGCCCTCCCCACCTCCCCGGGCAGCAGAGAGAGAGAGAGAGAGAGAGAGAGAGAGAGAGAGAGATTGAGAGAGAGAGAGAGAGAGGGAGAAGGGGCCCGAGAGAGACAGCGCAGGCAGACCATGGACGGCACGAGGCCCACACCCCTGCGAAGCCTCAGGGTGAGCACTCGGGCTGGGAGGGTCTGCAGGGAATGGGGGGTGCCTGGGGTCCCCCACCCCGTCCTCCTGCCCCTACCCCAGGCTGGGCTGTTCACTCTCTCGTCTTGGTTTTGTTCATGGAGATGGTTTTTGTTTCTTTTTTCGGCTGAAAAGAAAGCAGAGATGTGCCCCCACCCAACCGCCAGCCAGCTGCACAGGATGGTTTGGGCGGGTGCTGGGTGCCTGCCCTCCAGGCCTCCCCACGCTGAGGTGAGCCTGAGGCGGGGAGGAGACAGGTTTAAAAATCCCCAACAAAGCGAAACATGAGGGGTGTGGGCATCCTGGCCCCCTCGGTGCATTGTGAGGAGCAGGGTGAGGGGCTGGAAACAAACAAAATGGAAAAAAAAGGGGGGTGGGTGGGAGGGGGAGAAAAACTCTATTTTTGTAAAAAGGGGAAAAAGACCTCGTGGAGAATTTTTACTGGGGATTCTTGAACTTGAAAAAAAAAACACACAAAAAAAGACCAAAAAAAAAAAAAAAGAAAATATTTTGACAGGTTATGTTTACCAACTGGGGCAAAGACGGGAAGCAGGGCTTGGGGCCGGGGCCCAGGGGCCACACAGAGACACACGCCCCACAGGAACACACAGCACTAACAGACGCAAGACAACCCTGACACACAGGAACTGGCCGACTCAGACACGGAGACGCACAGAGACCGGAGTGGGAGCCCTGTGAACGTGGAGCGATCAGACACGGACGTGGACAAACGTATCACAGGCAGACGTGGACAGAGGTGAATGTGGACAGCGGACGTGCAAATATTTCCCTGCGCTCACGTGAATACGTGAAAGTGGAGACATACATTTGGAGACACAAATCCAGACACCCAGTCGCAGACATAACACCCAGGAACACACAGACACGCCCACAGTTCCCTCGGACCCGGGCGCCCAGCCCTCCCGGCACCCAGCCCCGCTCGCCCCTGCCCCAGGGTCTCTGCAGAGCTCTCTCCGGCTCATCAGTGGTCCGTGCCGCCCGTGAACACAGGCGTGCACACAGCATCCTGCATCCAGACACACGATACCTCGTTCACTTTTGGCATCATGGTGGGCTGGAGGCAGCACCCCCCAATAATTGAGGCCAAAGGACCCCTTGTCCCTGGGGCTGAGCCGTCTCTGGGGCTGAGCCTCCCCCCGGCCCAGGCCCTGGCCCATGAGGCCGAGGGCGAGGCCAGGCCCCGAGCCTCCCCCGACCGAGGGCCTCCCCGTCAGGCCCAGGGGCCCAGCCCCGCTTTTCCTCCCCACCCACTCGTCACCCCTTTTAATTTGTTGGGGTTTTCCATCTTTCCGATGAGTGAGGGCAGTGGACACAGCTCCCATCCCAAGCCCCAGCCCTGGCTTCTGTCTGGACTTTCCATCCCCCTAGTTTTCATTCTTTGTAACAAAAAATTCCAACAGAAGCCCAAGGCGGGAGCCCCTGGGAGCCCCTGCAGCCCCCACGCCTCGCAGTGGGCCCAGTCAGAACTGAAAATTGCAAACCCCGATTTTAGATTCAGTTGACCTTTCTCCGGTGTCCTGCTTTGGTGTCTGGCCATGGCCCCATCTGACTGCCCAGCTCTCTCTCCCCACCCTCCCTGGTGTTTGTTATTAAACGTCTGTGGAGCTTCTGCTGCAAGGAACAAAAAGAAAAAATTTAAAAAGCAACAAAAAAATACAAACAGAAGAGAAAAACAAAAAACAAAAAAAAAAGAAGAAAAAAAACACTGAAGAGATTTTAAAAAAAGAAAAAAAAAAAAAAAGACATAAACTGGCACCAGTTAACTTTCTTGTACTTTTTTGCCGAATTTAGCTTCTTGTAGTTTTAACTTATTGCTATGTTAACTATTTATTCTTGTTGCCCTGTAAGGACATTTGTGTATGTTTCTGTTCCTTCATCCAGTTTGCAAGTTTAAAGGAACCACGATGTTCTTTGTTTCTTTAAGTTTTGCTGAGACGTGGTTATGCCTAATTTATTTATAAAGGGGAAGTGGAATCATTAAAGTAATAATTATTAATAACAGTAACGGCAGCGGTGGCAGCGGTGGGGCGTGTGCGCTCTCCGGGGCGGCCCCCACTTGGCCAGCGACGTCCGGTCTCAATGGGATTCTTTTTGCTCGTCTTGAGAATTTTTTCAGTCCTATTTAGCTGGTGAAAACCCTAGCTTGTTCTTGATACACGAACCTATTTATTCTTGTGGTTTTAAGTCCTGATCTCCCTGCTCCCCTCCAGCAGGGCAGGCCCCCCGCGGGTCCCTCCCTCTCCCTCTGTTTCTTGGGGCTTTCTCCCCTCTGCCCTCCCTGCACGCAGGGACACGTGTGCACACGTGGGCAGCGTGCCGGGGGCATCCGTGAGCAATAAGGGCTGGGTTTGTCCCCCACCTGGGGGTGCTGGGTTCTGGAGAGGGCACCTCCCCACACAAACCCCCCACACTGAGGCCTAGGCCCCTGCTACCCCCAGACTGGGAGTGCACTTCTTTTTCTAAAACACAGAACTCAGCCCAGCCAGCCCCTACCAGGAAGCTGGCCCAGGGGAGGAGCCTGGGGTCTTCCATGTCCCTGGGGGGCAGGGGCAGGGCCCTTGGGGAGGGGCTCAGCCCCGCAAGCCCTCCCTTCATCCTGTTATTTATTCGGAAGGTTTCACATCATGACAGTCCGTATGTTGGAGATGATAAAGAACTGCAAAAAAAAAAAAAAAAAAAAGACAAAAAAACACTTTGCGTTGCATTTAGACTATTTATTACCGGATTACAGGCCTGGCCGCGGTAACAGACTTTTACATGGAATTGTTTAATTATTTGTACTTTTCATGCCAGAAAATAAAAGTTCAGAATCTTACAGCCTTGGCTGGGTGTCTGTGTGCCAGTGGGCGGGAGTGTTGTGTGCCGTTGGCCCTGGCTGGGCGCCTGGGTCTCATCTCAGCTCCTTGGCTGACCCACAGCAGACACACTCTGGAGGGCGGGCGACGGCTCCGGGAGAAATGCGACGGACACGGCCCACGGTCCATCTGTCCCTCGGTGCCCGATTTTGCTGTCTGTGCATCTCAGGTTTGGTCATCTCACCCGTGGAGCCAGCCTGATGGGTCTGCAGACAGCTGTGGCCCCTGCCTTCTGCCCTGTGCCCACCCTTGGCCCAGCCAAGCAAAGGAGACACACATGGGTTGGGGAATCATTTATTGTTCAAGGTCACAGTCTATTCAGTCCCCACCAGCAGGGGAGGCAGACACCATGGGCAGGGGCACGGGGGTGGGGAGTGGGAACAGGGGGGGGCGGAGGGCGGGGGAGGGGGAGAGGGGAGAGGGGAAGGAGGGGGGAGGCAGTGAGTCACCAGGCTATGGCCTGGGGAGGGTGCACTCCTTTAGTCCATTTTGGAGGCCCACTGAGGCCTGGGCAAATGCTCTGCCCAGCCTGACCCCCCAAGAGCAGGGCGGGGGGGGGGGCCCGAACGGTTCCTGCCTGTGGGAGGGCAAGGAGACTCAGAGGGGCAGGCCTTCGTCCAGATGGGCGGGTAGGTGGCACCACTGAGGCTCGTTCCATGCCTTGAGGTTCTGGGGCCAGAGAAAGAGACGATGGAACACAAGTGGGCAGAGGTGGTGCCAACCCAGATCTGTCTTCCTTAGACCAACTGCACCCCCCCCCCCCCGGCCAGGCGGGCAGACCCACGCCCCCGTCCACCTTGGCGGGGCAGGGCTAGAGCTCATCGTGGTCGCTGTCTGCAGGTGGCTCGGGGGGTGGCTCTTGGCAGGCAGCAGGCGTCATCAGCTCCATGAGGTACTCGCAGCGACTGGGCTCCGTGGTGCTGGTCACCATCGTCTCCTTCCCACACAACAGGCGCACCTGGGGGGGCGGGCAGGTGGGGCTCGGGTGGGCTCAGCCAGGCCTGGGTCCCCCACACCGCCCACCCCATCTCCCACCTTCCCCCACCCACTCACAGTGGTGGAGCGGTTGGGGCCCTGCCAGCAGCCAGTGCCCTGTTCGTACTTCATGGAGCTGAACTTGTCGTGTTCAGGGCCAGCCCACGAGCCCCAGGTGCTGTGGAGAGTGGGTGCTGAGGGTGGGCTGGCTAGGGTTTGGGGGTGCCAAGGGGGAGGGAGTTCAGCCTAAGCCCACTCACCCGAGGTTGGTGGGAGAGCCGCCGCCAAGCTTGGGTTGTTGTGAGACATGCTTGAAGGGACAGAGTCGGTAGACATACCTGTCATATAGGACAAGACTGGTGGGTGGGGCACACAGGACCCCAGCCCCCCGACACCCCCACACACGGGGTGGGGGAGGGTGTGCACCCCCGTGGCCTTGCTCAGGCTCAGACCCTCCAAGTCCACCCGCCCGCCCGCCCGCCCGCCCGCCCTGGGGGTGGAAGGGGGACGCACTCATTGGTGGTGAGTTCGTAGCACTGCTTGTACAGGTAGGCAAACTCCCCGCTGGGGCCGAAGTCAAAGGAAATCTCCTGCTCCAGGTTCCTGCAAGGGAAGGCCACGTGGCGAGGGGCAGCAGTGTCCACACCGACTCAGGACCGCGCTGGGCGCCCCATGATGAGTGGAGGGCTGTGTGGGCTGGGCTCCGGCTCCCTGCCACCTGGGGACCCCCCTCAGGAGCCAAGCAGCCTGGTAGCAGCAGTTGCCTCGGCAACCACCTGTCGTCACCACCTCTGGGGAGCCAGCCCGCGCTCATACCTGATGGCCTCCTCCATGTCCCTCAAGGACCGCTCGGCCTCCTCAAACTTGTTGCGGGCCTCCTGGGCAGCTGGGGGGGCAGAGGGGGTAAGGTCAGGGGCCCCTGCCCAAATCCAGGAAGAGGGGGTGTGGTGGCTGGACACGCCCGCTGCCCCGCCCCCAGGCCTGCTCTGGGGAAGACCGCACCAGGAAGGCCCTGCGGGTCTCGCCAGCTGCAGACCCCACCCCGCGCCCAGGCTGGTGGCTCCCAAGGGATCATGGCCAGGGCTCCTGGGGCGCCAACGGCTCCCCACCCATGAGGGTGGCACAAGTAAGCAGCACCCGGTGAGGAGGCAGGGAGGCCCTGGGGCTGGCCGGGGTGGTACTGGCCTCCCCAGGCCCCAGATGCCCCCTCCAGGCCTGGTTCTTGGGTGTCTACAGGTGAAGGCAAGGGGAACAGGTATGGGCAGCATCCCCTCCCGCCCAGGCCCAGTGAGCACTCACCGTCAATCAAGGCCTGCGTCTGCTCATCATAGGGCGGCATTTTGTCCTCCGTGGGGCTGGCTGGCTGGGGGGGCGCGAGTGGGGGTGGGGCCTCCTGGGGAAGGGGCAGGGTCAGCGAGTGGCCCTGCCTCCAGCCCCCACCCCTTCTCCCCGACACACACACCTTGGGCTGCTCCCCCTGCACCTGGAAATCCTCCTCCTCCTCTTCCTCCTCCTCCTCCGTCTCTCCTTCTCCCTCCTCCTCCTCCTCCTCCTCCTCCTCCTCCGTGGGCTGTGAGGGTACCGGGGGCTGCTCCTCCTTGGGCTCCGTGAGGTCAGGCACCGAAGGCGCTGGTGGAGTGGTGGGTAGAACCTGGTGGGTGTGCACGGTGCTTGGTGCTATGGACTGGGGTTCTCCCTCCATCCCCCGGGGCAGGGTCCACACTCACACCATGGCCCCAAGGGTGGCTTCAGTGCCTCCCCCTCCTAAGGGGCCTGGAGGGAGGAACAGACAGCTGGGAGGGGGTTGGGTGGCCAGCTGGCCAAGGTGGCCCAGTGCCAGAACTGGAGGCAGTTCCTTTGTGAGGCATCAGGGGGCTGGGGAGGGAGGGCGAGGGCAGGACTGCATCCCCTCCCCCACTGACCTCAGACCGGTACTTGTCCCTGATGGCAGCCCAGACGCGGTCGTGGAAGGAGGTAGGGTCCATCTGCGAGTCTCCCCCGAGCAGGGTCTGTGTGCGTGCGTTGAGGTGGCATCAAGATGGGGGCCTCCAGAGCCCCTCCTGTGCCCCAGCCACTTATAAAGGGGGACCTCGGGCTGCAGTGCCAGGGGCGGGCGAACTGACTGCCAAGGCCAGGCCTGGGCCAGGATGAGTGCAGTGCAGCCACCAGAAGGGGGCAGCGCAGGCCGGTGGGAAGAGGAACCCATCACCAGGGGAGGGCCAGGGGTACCTACTGGACTCGGGAGGGAGGAGGGCCAGGCCTCAGAGGGAGAGCCGAGGCCGAGGAGGGACAGAGGGACCCAGCAGGGACAGAGGTGGACAGAGGGCGGAGGAGCAGGGTCCACACTGTGCAGAGCCAAGAGCATGAACGTGAGGAGCGCACACTGGGTACACACTTGGAGCCAGTGGGACCACGTGGAGGAAAAGCTGGCTCTGACCTAACAGGACACCCGGTGGCACCCACGTGACCCAGGCTCCAAAGGGCAGGGAGAAGTGACGCTGGCGGCTGCCTTCCTGGCTCCCACCCGAGGCCAGGTGCCCGCAGTCTTGGCCTGGCGCCAGGGGGCAGCTTTCCGTGGGAGCAGCCCACAGCCAGCCTGGCCCCCGCCCCTGGCCCTCACGTCACGTGAGGCGATCCCCTCCAGGAGTCCCAGGCCAGGGGGCAGGGGGGTACCTGGGCTTCTCCTTCGGATAGCACCCCGTCCCCATCTGTGTCCAGCTCTGGGTGGGTCTGCAGCTCGGCCACCGAGACCCTGCAGGGGTGCAGGCAGAGACCGCCGGTGAGCAGCAGGAAGCTGGAGGTGAGCTCTAGGGTGGGGACCCCTCCAGCCCCCACCCCTGGGATCTCCCCTGCGTCCCATCCCTTCCTTAAGTCTCTACAACGTTGAAGAGGCTCCGAGGAGGGACAGAGACAGAGATGGGATGAAGACACCTGGACCCGGGTCTCCCGAGACCCTCTCCTCACCACCAGCAACATCCATTCCTTCCACCCTCAGCACCAGCACATCCACCTGCCCTCCGCCCAGGGCCCTCACCCCGAGGGGCCCACACCCACTATGGCCAGTCTGCCCCCACAGTCACGTCACTACTACCAACCAGGGAAGGGCTCACCCGCCCACTCTGCTCCCCTGTCCTCACCAGGGCGCCTGCCCAGCCTCCCGGTTCCCGGCAGCCCACCCTCCACTAAGCCATTAGCCTGGGGTCAAGGGCACAGCCGGGGTCCAAAGGGTCTGCCTTTGACCACAGAGGAGACCTGGAAATAGTGGGATCGCTCATCACCTCACTCAGCTCCTTGGGAAGTCAGTGAGGGCTCATTCAGAGAGAGCCTGGGACCAGCTCAGGCCCATGGCCAGGAGGTGGGGGGCTGCCTGGTTTCTAGGGCAGGTGGGAGGGAGGGACCCAGGCCGGGGCAGGCGGGGACACTCACACCCCGTCCATGTTGTCGTCCAGCTCCTGGAAGGCACCGGCCGCCAGCTCCTGCTCCCGCTGGGCCTTGGAGGCGGCCTGCTGCTCTGTGGACGGGCCAGCTGTCACCCTCCACTCTGCCCACTGGCTCCCCCCACCCCGAAACCTGCCCTCCCCCACACCCCACGCAGCTGACTGTGTGCCTGGCCCGATGCTGGGCCCTGGGGCCGAGCCAGGCCACTGTGGGGGGCAGCCCAGGACAGCCCTGGGATGCGGATCTAAACAAGCAGGGGCTGCAGAGACCACGTGAGGGGCGGCTGGGGACCAGGCCACAGGTTTGCCATGTCTGGGAGGCCCCCGCGACAGAGACCCAAGCACGCCACCAAGCTCTCTCTCCGACATGGAGGGTGGGGAATGGAGGCTGGGGTGGGAGTGTGACCAGGCAAGGGTGGTGACCTGGGAGTCTGGGGGCCGAGACATCTAGGGGCAGTTACATCCGGTACAGCTGGGTTTGTGGTTGGGGAACCAAAGAGAGAAGAAGCCAGAGGTCAGGGTCCCAGCCCCGAAGAGGCACCAGGTCTTGGGCCCACTGAGCAGGAGCGTGTGGGCCGCCAGGAAAAAGCAGGAAAACCATCATCTGGAGCAGAGGCTGCCAGGGAGGAGGGGGAGGAAGAGTGCACAGACTTAAGGAACAGGAAAGCCAGGACAGAGTAAGGAAGCCAGGTTCACTCGGGGCGGGAGAGGCCGCCTGGCTTCCCGGCACTGGAGGGGAAGGGGCTTGGGCAGTAGAGGTCTGGGCGTATTTCTAAGCAGAGGGAAGGTGTCAGCCAAAGACCACCCAGGAGAGGAGATGACTGGAGGCCAGAGCATGGGGACACGCCTCCACTGAGGAGAGAAGGAGGAGGAGTCCCTGCAGGCGTCTCCACCCAACAAGCCCCTGGGACTCGGGCAGGGGCCTCTGTAGGCGCTGCCCCGATTTCCTGGCTCCCACCTCACTTGGGGTAAAAGCCCGAGTCCTCTCCCCGGTCCCTCAGGCCCTGTACGGCCGCCCCATCAGTCCCCGCCCTATCTCTCCCTCCTGCCACATGGCTGCCTGCTGCTCCTTAAAAACCAGACACGCTCACTCGGGCCTCTGCACCTGCTCCCCTGCAGGCAGCGGCTCCTCCATCTTGTTCAATGCGGCGCTGCTGGCACCTGGGCTGTGCCTGGCACTCTACTGAATTATTGATTATGACAAATCAGGGTTGAGAGAGGGGGAAGGAAGAATGCAGCAGATGCCCAGGGAGATGGAGGACATCAACAGCTTGGGGGCTGCCAGTTCCTGGCTACCAGCGTACGAACAGCTGGAGCCGCACCTCCGAACCTCGCAGCAGTGCTCTGTCCTTTGACTAGTCTGTCCCACCGCCCCCTCCTATGCTGCTTCCACGGTGTGTCCCCCATGGAGCTGACTGAGAACAAGGACCAAGGCTTCCAATTTCCCGGAAGGGTGACATGACCTGCCAATGGCAAGAAAATGCTGAACACAGCATAGAAACATCTTAAAACCAACCAAGCCAGGAGGAACTGCCAGGGCAACGAAGCACTTGGAAGGGTGAGATGCGGAGGCTGACTTCGCCCTAAAGGACTTGCCAATTCTGGATGTGTCTGTCTTGATGAGAACTTGTGGGGCCAAGGAGATGGAAATCACAGTCCAAGGTGGGGAGAATAATAGCAGACACGCCACTGTGGCCGCCATGGGGCTGCCCACTCGGGGGGGCGAGGCTGGATGGGAAATCACCCAGCCTTCGCTCAGATCTGAGCTCCAGCCTGAATCTGGATTTGGGAACCCACGTGGCTGGCAGGAAGAAAAGTCCCTTCTATCTGGAGAAGGACTCCTCATCCTGGGCTACAAATTATTCCTGTAAATGACTGTCAAGTACGGTGGCCAACACACAGTCGAAGATAACTAGGCACGTGGGGAACCGAGGCACCGTGATCAAGAAAGTCAGCAGGAAAAACAGACAAACGGACGAGGAGCCAGTCTCCCGGGCCCGGCTCGTCCTGGCCACCCCGTGACATACCTTCCCACAGCTTCTGGTGCTGGTCTTTGGCCTCCTTCTCTGGCTTCTCAGCCTCCTCCTTCACCGTCCGCAGCATCTCCACCTGGTCCTCCAGGGACTTCTTTCCGGTCTGTAGCTCAGTGAGCTTTTGCTGGATGGGGAGAAGGCAAGGGGCCAGCTCTTCCTTCTGTTCTACCTTCTTCCTCACAGACTTCGACCTCCCCGCCTCTACTCCAGGGGCAACTGCAGGATCTTTCCAAAACTCACACCCTCCTGGGTGCCCCGCCTGCTGTGGTTCCCAGCAGCCCACTCACCTTAATGCAGCTTCGAGGCCCCATGTGACCAGGCCCCGGCTGCCTCTCCAGCTCCACCTGCCCCAATGCTACCTTTTTTTAATTTTATTTTTTGGTTAATCCTCACCCAAGGATGTTTTTCCCATTGATTTTTAGAGCCAGTGAAAGAGAGGGAAGGAGAGAGAGAGAAACGTCGAAGTAAGAGAGACACTGCAACTGGTTGCCTCCCGCACGCGTCCTGACTGCAGCTGGGAATCAAACCCACAACCCAGGAATCGGATCCATAACACTTCGTTGCATGAGCCAACGCTCTGACCAGTGGGAACAGTGGCCAGGGCCCTATTGCTATTCTAAATATACATATTTCTTATTGATTCCAGAGAGGAAGGGAGAGAGAAATATCAATGATGAGAGAGAATCATCAATTGGCTGCCTCCTGCACGCCCCTCACTGGGGATTGAGCTGGCAACCGGGCACGTTCCCTGACCGGGAACTGAACCATGACCTCCCGGTTCATAGGTCAACGCTCAACCACTGAGCCACACCAGCCGGGCAATTTTAAACTCTAGGCTCCAACTGTCTCAACAACCAACATTCAGACCAGAAATGCTCTCTGCCTCGTTCTTCACACGTGCGTCCCTTCCATCTGGAGCACGCTACCTGGCTGCCCTGAACCCCCTACAGATTTCAGCTTGGAGACCTCATCCTCCAGGAAGTCTCCCTGCTTCCTGCCGTGAAGACCAGGGACCAGGCAAGAGTGTCTTCTTTTTTTTTTTTTTTTTTTTAATGTTTTATTGTTTTCTTTCAGAGAGGAAGGGAGAGGGATAGAGAGTTAGAAACATCAATGACAGAGAAACATCGATCAGCTGCCTCCTGCACACTCCCCACTGGGGATGTGCCCGAAACCAAGGCACATGCCCTTGACTGGAATCGAACCTGGGATCCTTGAGTCCGCAGGCCGACGCTCTGTCCGCTGAGCCAAACCGGTTAGGGCAAGAGTGTCTTCTTTTTGCCCAGCAACCCTGGGCACCATGTTCTGTCCGTCTGTCCCTCCCACTGGACAATGCACCCTTGAGGCAGTTCCTGGTGAGCTTCCAGCCGCATGCCCAGTGCCCAGCACACCTGGGCCTCTGTGGATATTTCAAGAAGGACTGAGTGCGGGACGGGCTCCAGCCTAGGAACAGGGTCCCAAGCTGCAGGGTCGTGGCCCGAGTGCCCACAGCACCACTGTCTCCCGAGACCTCGGCGGGCACCTCAGCGTGGACTGCTGCTCTGACCCTCCCAACTCGCCACGAGGGCACAGGTCGCCTGGACACACCCTCACCATAGTTCCCCCCGACCCCGAGCTTAGGACGGAGCTATGGCTCCAGGGTCCTCCGTAGCCAGGCCCTGGGGATGGGGGAGAAAGACCTGGAACCTTCCCTGGGCTGGAACCCTTGCTCAGTGGGCCGAAGAGGAGCCCAGAAGCAGTGCTGAGAACTCTGACCCATCAAACAGCCAAGGGAATGGAAGGCAGGGGAGGGAGACACACACTTGGGGGTACACCCTCCTCCGGCCCCCAAAGCACACACCCTACTGAACCAGCCCAGCTGCGGCTGATTGACACCGTCTTGAGTCCTCCCCAGTCACACAGTCATCAGCCCCATCTTACAGACGACAGACCCACAGACCCGGGTGCAGAGGCACCCCTCCTGTTCCGGGGGGCAGCGAACTCCGCCAGCCCCCCTCAGGCTGCCACCTGACGCTCCACGCCTGTGCTCACCACGGTGGACCTGGTAACGACCTAACCAACAGCTTCACGCCAAGTGGACAAACGAGAAAACGAAGGTGCAGACAGGAACTGGCCTCGGACACCATGCCCCCCGGCCTCTGGTCAGCCCCGGGGCCCCCCCCTCACCTGCTTCTCTTCCCGGGCCTTCTTCCAGTCCTCGATGAGGATCTTCTTCAGGCGGAAGCCCTCGCGGGTGACCTCTGCCATCTGCTGCAGCGTCTCTCTCTCCTTGCGGCCCTTCTCCCTGGCGAGAGGGGACACACAGGCACCACCAGGGGGCACTTAGGACCCATCAGATCTGCTCTTCCAACTGGGCTCAACCCCACCTGTCGCCACCATATTGGGAAAGACAAGAGAGCGAACCCTCCTCCTCCATCTCCCAGACGCTCTTGGCCTCGGAGCCCCAAGTCCTTGTCCTTGGGAGGAGACAGTGGACAGGGTTCGCCCACCTCAGGGTCAGGAAAGGGAGTAGGGAATGCTGGGACGTGAGGCTGGAAGTTGGAGAAAAGCACAGAATCACAGGCTCCCGGAAAGTCTGGCTGTAAGCATGGTGTGTGATCAACCCTCTGCTTACATAAAAGACCTTCAATCAGAAGAGTTCACACACATAAACATTCGGTTTCGTTGAAAAACCAATCAGGCCCTTATCACCTGCCCTCACTGACAGGAGTCGAGGGCAGCTGCCCCTTTAGATGCCACCGTCCCCACCACTCCTGCCGCCTTATGCTCAGCCTGCTTCTGGCATTCAGTGACCTGCCTGCCACTTCAGTTTCCAGGTCCTGCTCCAGTGCAGCAATGAAAAGCATGGAGTCTCAAGTCAGGCTGTCCTGGGTTCGAGTAGCAGCTCTGCCATCTCCTAGCTACGTGACCCTGAAGAAGTCATTCTCCTTCTAAACTTGAGCTTTTTGACCTGTTGAACATGCACATGACTGCCCCTGCTTCCCGGCCAGAGGGAGCCTTCACAAGGCACAGACCGAGCGCTCGATGCTCAAACACAGAAAAGAGAGGGGGCCTGATTCACCGGCAGGGCAAGGCAAGGTCTGGGGGTTGGGGGGGGCGCCCCCGTACCTGCAGGTGTTCTCACAGACGACCCCACTATTGTACTCGTCCGTCCCGTCGCAGCAGTCTTAGGGCAGAGGAGGGGGCACCGTCAGGCGTAGCAGTGTCTCCTCCTCCCCCCCCCCCCCCCGCCCTTCCCCAACGCCAGCGGGATCTCACTTACCACAAACTCCATCGTTGACCCATCTGGAGGAGATGTACAGAGGCTTGTAGCCAGTGTTGGTGCAGTGGAAGCTGCCGTTAGGGCAGGCAGCCGTGCCTTGGGGACGAGGGAAGAGGGAGGGGCATTTTCCGAGTGCGCAGGCCTGACCCCTTCACATCCACCCGACAGAAGCCCCGACACACACGCACACACAGAGCACAAGGAGACCAGTGCCGGGTAAGGGGAAGAGAGACAGCTGCACACTCAGGGTCTGGGACGAAATTCTCCCAGGCCCCCTCCTGACTCTCTTCACCAAGACCCTCGGAACAGGCCCACCAACTCCCCCTCCCCCGCCCTCACCTGTCCCTGTCGCCCACAGGCCCCGCCCTCACCTGTCCCTGTCACCCACAGGTGCTGCAGGAGGCCACCGCCGAGCCCTCAGGTCGGGTGGGGGCCTCTCTGAGCTCCCACCATGCCTGTGGCTCTCAGCACCAAACCAACGACCACTTGCTTCTGTGCCTGCTTTCCCCATTAAGTCAACAGGGAGCAGTCCTGTCCTAGTCACCACACAGGGCCTGGCACTGCCCTGGCGCTCAATACCTGTGCAATGAATGGATGGATGGTGGATGGATGGATGGATGGATGGGGAAACACTCACCCGGCTCATCCGAGCCGTCCTTGCAGTCACAGTAGTCATCGTTGACCTGATCAAAAGGGATGGTGACCGAGCCGTCCAGGCAAGTGAAAGGCTTGGACTCATCGTAGAAGTGATGGTCTGGCGGGGGGGGGGAGCAAGAGACTCAGCCCAGCGCAGGAAGAGGCCCCCCAACCTAAGGGCACCTCTGCTTCCATCCATTGCTGAGCGCTGCCACCTTCCCCACCCAGAGGCAGGGACACGGAGGCCAAAGGCTGTGCCTCCCCGAGGAGCCACAGCGGCCCCTCCAACCCGACCCCCCACGCGGCGGCGGACTCACTGGTGAGGGAGACGCCCCGAGGCCGCCGGACCTCCACGGCCCAGCACGCGGGGAGCAGCAGCACCAGCAGCAACATCTCGCTAGAGGCTCGCGGGCCGGAAACGGGCTCGGGGGAGGAAGCCGGCTGCGGGGAGACGCGCTGCAAGGAGGGAGCTGCCGGTCAGCGGCCGAGGGCTCCCTCCAGCCAATTGGATTCCTCCATCGCTTCCGGGCAATGGGGGCTCATGGGAAAAGATATCGGACGTTACCTTTCCAACCTGGCCTGTCTCAATGGTGGGATCTCGAAACCTCCGCTCCCCAGGGGGGGAGAGCGAGCCAACCAATTCCCGCCAATAGGCCGAAGGAGTGAAGAGCCTCCCCCTCGGCCGACGCACACCCTCAGGTACCTCAACAGGAAATGGGGGTTCCCACCGGCCCGCTAATGCATCACTTACACGAAGCAAGGGCAAAGGTCAGTATTTACCGCGCCCCCCCGGCCCAGCAGCCCACAGTTCTTCCAGCAGAAAAAAAGCGGAAGTGTGTGGATGCGTCACTTCCTGTGACACGCTGAGCGCCAGGACGGCGGCTCGGAGACGCCATGTTGGGAGTGGCACGTGAGATGCCGGAACCCGGACGGCCATCTTGGATAGGACTACGAAGCCTTAGAGTTCTGAAGGTTTGCGCTTAATGGCGGCGCAAGGTGCCTCCATCTTGGGAGTGGCGGGTTCTGCGATCGCAAAAGAAAGTGCCTGAAAAACGCGCGAACACCCGGTGGGTTTGGGGTGGGAGGAGGAAAAAAAAGACGAACACGTGACTCCAAAGAACCCTCCCCCACCGTGTAGCGGCGCGACTCTGCTCCGCCCCCTGTTGGGCCCGCCCCTCCGCAGCACCAGCCAATGAGAGCAGTGGTGCCGAACGCCGACGGTTTCCATGGGAGCGCATAGGAAAGCGGGGAGGAGGTTACCTAGCAATCCGGAGATGCTGCTCGGCCCAGCCAAACGGTAGGAAAGTGCTTTTTCAGCCACAGAAACCCGAACCGACGGATCCCGGACAGAGGCGACTCCCCGGCGCCCCCCCAGCCCCCTGGAGCCTTTGTCCCCAACCCAATCATGACGTCTCCCCTGTGCTGGATGGCCGCCACCAGTGCCACGGTGCCTTCTCAGGACCAGATTCCGACTTCTTCCAAGTCCAAGCGCAGTCAAGATCAGGCCAAAAGCCGCCCTAGAGGCAAGGTCGCGGGGCAGGCCTGGCCTCCAGTCCATTCCAAGGGACCCATCTATGCCAGCCCCGGGAAGGTCGCTCTCCAAATGCAGATGGCTGAGATACAAAAGAAGATACAAGCATTAGGTAAGAGGGCTCCAAAGGGCATCAAATGGCCCCTAGTCAGCAGTGTCCACCCAGCCCTCTGACCAGGCATGGTGTGGCAAGGGTGCTTCACAGCATTCATCCAGGTGATCAGTGCTGGCGGTAAAAACTCATCTCATAAAACTTCCTGGCCCTGGCTGGTTGGCTCAGTGGATAGAGCATTGGCCCTCCGACTGATGGGTCCGGGGTTTGATTCAGGTCAAGAGCATGTACCTCAGTTGCAGGCTGGATCCCCAGCCTGGGTCGGGGCATTTGGGGGAGGTAACCAATTGATGTGTCTCTCTCACATGTTTCTCTCTTTGTCTGCCTCTCCCCCTCCTTTCCACTCTCTCTAAAAATCAATGGAAAAAATTTCCTTGGGTGAAGATTAACAAAAGCAAAAGCTTTTCCTGGACTCGGGAGTCAACTGGATTGTATTTCATACTTTTGTGTAATTTCAGCTATCATGTGTGGAGTGGTGAAAAACATAGATCCTAGGGACAGACATTCTGGGCTCAAACCCTGGCTCTGCATATACTAATGGTTTGATCTTGGGCACTAAGAGTAACCTAATTGCTCTCAGTTTCTCCATCTGTAAAATGGGGATAATAGTACAACACCATAGGTAGTTGAAATGTGTTAAGTGCTTAGAGCAGTGGCACATAGTAACACACTATAAGTTGCAAACCAGTGGTTCTCAATGGAAGAGGTCCATTTTGCTCCCCAGGGGACATTTGGCAAAGTCTGGAGGCTTTTATAATTAATTATTTACTGAGAGAGAGAGAGATATCACACCGATTTGTTGTTCCACTTATTTATACATTTGTTGGTTGATTCTTGGATGTGCCCTGACCGAGGATCGAACCCACAACCGTGGTGTATTAGGACAATGCTCTAACCAACTAAGCTAACTGGCCAGAGCTAAAGACATTTTTAGTTGTCACTTTATTAGGGGTGGGAGGGTGCTGTTGGTATCTAGAGGGTGGAGGTCGGGAATGCTGCTCAACATCCCAAAATGCAGAGAGCAACTAACCACAGTAAATAACTGTACATCCCAAGTATCAGTCATGCTGAGGTTGGGAAATCCTGGTGTAAACCATTATTGTTTTATTATTAATAGGGGAAATCTTGCAGAGTGGTTGAAGGTCAAGAGTCAGACTGTTTGTGACCTTGAACAATCTAATAAGCCTGAGCCTCAGTCTTCTCATCTATAAAATGGGTATGATGTGGATATGCACCTATTGGCATACTGTATTTTATACCTGGAAAGTTCTTAGTTCAGCATCCAACACATAATAAATGCTCCAAGCAAAGTATTATTATAATATTAAATTGATGACTGCAAAAAGGCTATCCTCTGGGAAGCCTTTCCCACCCCCATGATGCTCTGCTTGTACCTGCCCACATCACTTGACCCCAGAGAGTGATCGGAAGGCCTTTTATGAGAGCACCCAGTGGAACATCAAGAAGAATCAGGAAACCATGAACCAGCTACATGAGGATAACAGGGTGCTGCAGCTACAGCTGAGGGACCTGCTCCAGGTGAGGGTGCAGCAGTGGGCGAAGAGGTTCCAGGGGCAGCACCAGCACTCCCAGCACAGGCGCTGCCTCAGGTAGAGGTGGCCTGGGTAAGTGGTGACTGGGTCCTCTCCTTGCAGGGAGAAGAGAAAGTGGTCCAGGCAGTGATTCAGGACTGGAAGTCAGAGAAGCCATACCTGAAGAACAGGACAGGACAGGTTTGCCCCAGCCCTACTCCACTGACAATCTCCTTCATTTCCAGCCTGGGTCCCCTCCCCACAGGACTCCCTCCCTTCTCCCCCTCCCCCTCTAGTCCTTTCTCCCTACCATCCGCCACTCATGTATTCACACAATTAATTTTTATCACATGTCAGCCATGTGCCTGGCATGGTATTAGGTATTGTTGATCGTGCAGTGAAAAAAAACCAGACCAAGTCCTCACTGGGACAGGAATTTGCACTTTTGACTGTGGGGTGGGAGTCAGCAAAGACCCCTCTCTTTCCGATGTGATGCTTGAGCTGAAAATGGGCCAGGCAGGAGATGATCTGGGGGTAGGGTCCGGGGGGAGGGAGGGGAATGCCCCAGGCAGAGGGAACAAATGCCAAGTCCCTGGGGTAGGAACAAGTGTGAAGTGTTGGAGGCCAGTGTGGCTAGATGGGAGGGAGGGAGGGGAGCCTGGTAGGAGCGGGGTCAGGGAAGTCACCAGCAGCCGAATCTTGCAGCAGGCCATGATGAAGAGAGCGGATTTTATATGCTAAGGCTCAGGTAAGTGGGAAATGACTGAGAGAGAGCGAGAGCGGAAGCCAGGAGGAAGTCATTTTGGTGAAAGATGGTGTTGGATGCACTAGGGTGAAAGCTGTAGACAGGAAGAAAGAATCTTGGGGGCAACCTTGGAAATAGAACAGATGACTGCTAACAACTTGTATGTAGATGGAAGAGAAAAAGAAGTGGGGTGACAGTTTTCAGTTTTGGACTTGAGCACTTGGAAGGAAGGAGAGCGAGCATGAGCAGAGATGGGAAGACAGAAGGGCAGGTTTGGAGAAAGATCAAGTGCTCAAATTGGTCACAATGGTGTGAGGTGCCTGTGGACACATCTGGAAGGCAGTGTAGATGTGGACACATGAGCCTGACTGTCCGGGGAAGGCTAAATTTGGGTGTCTTCAGTGTACAGGTGACCTTTAAAGCCCTGAGACTGGACAAGAGATCATGATGGGGGTGGGTGTAGACAAAGGAGAGAAGAGCCTGGGGCTGTCTCTCCAAAGGCAGAGGACGGGGAGGTGGGTGGAAAACCAGGGAATGGGCTTCTGGAAGCCACCAAAATAGAAAACCTGCAGGAGGAGGGTCAGACGCTGTTCAGAGACGAGAGATAGATGGGAACCAAAACATGGAAAAAGGTAGCTCTGCAGGAAGGACCTGGCGGGGTTCAGACCCCTGCTCTCTCTCCCCTCCCTCCAGCAGGCCCTGGAGCTCCTGGACCACCGGCTGAGTGAGAAGGTGAAGCAACGGAATGGTCTGCGGCACCAGATGGGATTGCGGCAGAAGTGGCTGGAGGAGCTCCAGCTGCAGCACAGCCTACGTGAGCTGGAGATGGAAGAGGTGCAAGATAGCAACACTGAGATGGCTAAGGTGCGGCCGGTGAGGTGTGGAGGGCTGGGAGGTGGACAGGTAAAAAGGGGCTCTTGATCTAGGGAGGAAGAGGAACTAAGGGTGGAGGGGACTCAGCCCAGCCTTGTTTCCCTCTAGACCTTGCGGAACCTGGAGAACCGTCTCGAGAAGGCTCGGATGAAGGCGGAGGAGGCGGAACACATCACCAATGTGTACCTGCAGCTCAAGGCCTATCTACAGGTAGGGACCAGAATGGCTGGGGACGGGGAGGCAAGTGGGAGGGCCAGCCTGGCCCAGGACAGTGGTTACAGGCCTGCCCCACTCCTCACACCCCAGGAAGAGAGCCTTCACTTCGAGAACCGTCTGGACTCCATGGAGAGTGAGGTGGTGAAGACAAAACAGGAACTGGAGGAGATGCGCGTGGTGAACCAGGAGGCACTCAACACCCAGAACACTGCCAAGGTGCCAGCTCACTGGTCCCTGGGAATCCTACCCAGACACCATGGTCTCCTGGCCCCAGCATCTGAACCGCAGCTGTCCCAGAGCCACTCCTATTTGTCTCTCAGGACCCTGCAACCTGGCCCAGTTGGGCCTGTGGCTCTGACCCTGAGCCATGGTAGATGCCAACTGGTCCTGCTGTCCCCCTGCCTGCCCTCCAGAATCAGCTGCAGTATCTGGAGGAGACTGTGTTCCGAGAACGCAAGAACCGCGAGCACTATGTAACCGAGTTCAAGAAACTCGCAGACGAGAAGAAACTGCAGAACGAACGCATGGAGCGCAAGGTGGGTGCACCCGGGGGTGCCAGGACTAAGGCCCTGTCCCGCACTCCTGATCCCTGCTTGGCTGCCCTTACCTGACCTAAGCCTTTTCCCGGGACCACAGACTGGACCCCACCTATTCCCTGACCCCTGTCCAGATACCCTTTCTTGGCCTCTGTCCTAAGCCCTTGTCCACAACCTGACCCTGGACCTGACCTCAACCTGGAGCAGACCCATCGAGAGCATGTGCTGCTGCAGTCCGAAGATACGATCCAGGACAACCGGAAGGCCAAGGAGGAGGATCTGCAGCTGCGCTGGAGCATGTACCAGTTGGAGATGCTCTTCGGCAAGGTCAAGGACGCCACTGGCGTGGCCGAAACGCATGTGAGTGCTGCCCGCAGCCCTGTGCCGTGGATCAACTCCTCAGCACACAAACGTGCTCCCTTAAAAGACAACCCTTCAGCTACCGCTCCATTTCTCTGCTGCCCCTTACAACAGAACCATGCACACCATCTGTACTCACATTTCCTCTCCTTCTGTTCAGTCTTACACCTTTGACACTGACTTCTTTGGCCTGGAGGCCCTGTGAAAGCTGGGAGTTTTGTCTCTCCTGTGTCTCCATCACCTGTAACACGGTCTAGGGCCCAGCAAACTGCCCAGTGCCACCCTAGGTCCCCCTGCCCTGCCCTGGTCCCCCTTTTTGCAATGTCTTGCTTGAAATTTTCTAAGACTCTATGTTCCCTGCTGGCAAACAGTGATCCTGCTGGACCCCAGTCTGTTTCCCCCACTTTGGGCACTCCCCAACCCTCCATTCTTCCCATGGGATGACCCCCAAGGGTTCCAGGACTTGGCTCTATGGTGTCATATGAGGCACTGTGTCCAGTTCCTTTTCAGAAATTGGCCTGGTGGCAGGATTGCTCCCACAGCGGGCCAGTATTTCCTCATGGGATTGGGCGAGATTCCCCCCCACTCCCCAGAATGTTGCTGGCACCTTGATTTTGGAAAGAAGTTATGGTCACTGCTACCCTGCCTCACATGCTGATTTTTGGCTGATTCAAATTCCTGATATAGAGAGGGAAGGGCTCAGCAAATATTATTTGTCCCAGGCTACCCACCTGTGAGGCAGCCCTGAGTCCTATTCAGAGTCCCTATGCATCACTGTGCAGAAGCTGTCAGCTCAGCCACCTGCTCTTCTTAAGGAGGAGGGTGGCAGCTGGCCCTGTCCAGGCCCCTGCTCTGACTGGGGTTGGGTGGGCCCTAGGCGGTGGTGCGGCGGTTCCTGGCGCAGAGCGACACCTTCACGCAGTTGGAGATGCTCAAGAATGAGAACATAGAGCTGCTGCTGAAACTGAAGCAAGAGAAGGAGCAGCTGCAGCAGGAGCTCGAAGACCACAAGTACTCAGGGGAGGCCATGCTAGTGAGGTGAGGTCCCAGTGCCGGAGGGAGAGGGTGAGGGCCCGGGGTCCTCTGCACTCCCCCAGCTCTCTCTCCATTCTCTGCAGTGAACAGAGGCTGCAGGCCGTGTTGCAGAGTAGCCTCAATGCAGAGCAGCAGCGGAAGGCCAAGGCCCAGGCCGAGCTGAAGCAGGCCATATGGGCGATGCAAATCCTGAGGGAGGGCCTGGAGCACCTGGCGGGCAAGCTGAACCACCTCCCAATGGGCAGCCAGGGCTCTGAGGAAGAACTACCCAGAACCACCCAGGACTTAGCCCCTCAGGTGGGGGGTCCGCCCCATAGCCCCATTGATAGGAACCCCCCCTCCATGCCTCATCCAGGACATCAGAAGGCCACTTAGAAGGGAGTCCTTACCCCATGTTCCTGGGGTAACCCCCTTACTCCTAAGTGGCCCAAGACTTCAGAGACGCTGTGCTGCCTCAAGACGCACCCCCAGAGGAAAGTCCCACTTTGTCCCCCAACCCAAAACCTCAGCGACCCAGCTGCAATACTGGAGCACCCCGAGACAGGAGAAGCCCCCCCTTGTCTGCAGCAGAGTGCCATTGCTTCAGGTCATCCCTGCAATGGCTTCTCTCTGGTTATTTTCCTCTCCCCTCAAAAAAAGACCTCCCCCACCCCTTGTCCAGCGTCTGAAGTTCCAAGGCCCTAGACAGCGGCAGCCCGGCCCTACAGATGATAGCACCACCCCTGTGGGTGGCCCCTCACCTTCAAAGGCTTGACCCCTGGAAGCAAAAGCCCTTTCCGGGTGGAATCTGCCCGAGGCCCGACCCCTCCGAACTGACACAGCTCCTCCCCCGCCGCAGGAGGCCGGGGGCTCCGCTATGAAAGAGCTGGATCCCAAGGCCAGCGACTACCTGCCCAAGCTGCTGGGCCTGGTGGAGGAGAAGCTGCTGGCGCTGCAGGCGCAGTTAGACAGACAGGACATTCCGGAGATGCTGCGCCACATCGCGAATCGCGAGGTACCCAGGGAGGGGGTGCACTTCGGGGAGCCGCGGCAACCCCAGGGAGACCCGGGAGAAGGCCGCTGGCCAGGAATGGGACTGGGAGGTCAGAGGGCAGAGTGGGGTGGGGTGGGCATCAGGGGTGGAGCCTCGAGACGCCAAGGGGCGGGGCCCCAGGGACCAGGGGCGGGCCTGGCGGGAGGACAGGAGGTGGGACGGCATCAGGGTGCATGCTGAGAAGGAAGGCCACAGCTGGGCCCGAGTAAAGTTAAACAGGAGTTGGCAGAGGGGCTGTACGGAACCAGGGTATATCTTGGGATGGAGTGGGAGGGAGGGGTAACAGGATATCCCGGTAGCCCCTGCCCCACTCACAGTCTTCTCTCCCGCCCCCCTCCTCCCCAGTTCTACTCCAACCTGGAGGGAAAGCTGCCGGCGTACAACACCCGCATCACCTTCCCCCTTGCCATTCCCAAGGACAAGTTCTTTGGTCAGTACGGGCGGGGAAAAAGGGGGGGGGGCGGGTGAGGGGGCCCGGGGACCCAACAGAGCAACGGGCTGTGGGAGGGGAGGTGGGGTCTAAAAGGCTGGGTAGGGAAATCTGAGCAGGGCTGGGAACCTGGACCCCTCTCCCGCCCCCCAGACGAAGAGGAGACCGAGGACGATAACAACGACCTGGTTTCTCGTACGGAGCTCAAGATCCGCTCCCAGAAATTAATCGATTTTCGCAGCAAGAAGCGCAACCGCTCTCGGAGGTCCTAGACTCGCCCTCGTACCCACCTGGCCTCTCCCGGCCCCGCGGAGCTCCCAAGCCCTCTGGGCTCAGCCACCGGCCCTCGGGGCCGCTCAAGGGCCGAGCGGCCCGACCGGGAGCGAGCCGGCCATCGGCGCCCGGAATAAATATCCCCAGGCGGCCGCGCTGGCCTCGGAATCACAAAATAAAGGTCACCGACCAGCCTCCTGGTACTCGCCTCTCCTTGACCCTGCACCTCCCCGAAGACACCGCTCCTCAACCTCGGGGCCACAGGCTCTGCCCCTCCCACCAGCGGGGAACACAGTGGCCCAGAGATTGGCCCACACCGGGAGGACCCCCCGCCGGGCACACAGCCCCTCGCCCGCTTGGCCGTCCGGAGTCCCGCACCCCAGGGCGCACGCCAGGGGCCTCCCTGGAGAGGGGCCTTTCCCTGGGCACAGGTTCACACACACCTGTAGGGGGACCGGGGCCTCACCCGCGGGTCTGGATGGGTGCTGGGGTCCCGCTGGGGGCATCCGAGAGCCGTGGGTCCCCCGCCCCTTCCCGCCCCGCCCCCGCGCGGCCCGTCCGCCCCGCCCCGCGGCCCCCAAGTGCCCCGCCGCTGCCCGCCGCCGGCGGCCCTTCCGCCTCACTCAGCCGCGCTGCGGAGCGGACGGGCGCGGGCCATGCTGCGGACGGCAGGGAAGGAGCTCGCCCTGGTAAGGGGACCAGGGGCCCCGGGACCCCCATTCCTGGCGACCCCCGATGCGGGCTCCAGGAGCCGGTGCCCAGGACCCTCTCTCTCGGCGAGCCGGACCCTCGGACTCGCTCGAGATTCCCTACCTCCGGCCTCGCGTCCCCCGGCTCAGTGAAGTGGCTCCTCGGAGGGATGGAGGCTGGGCTCCGAGGCGCCCCCACAGGCCACCCCATCCTCCCAGGGCCGGGAGCGGGGTGCTCGCAGCGCCGGGGGACTTGCCCAGCCCGAGTTACACACACTCCGGCGAGGCCCGGCCTAGCCCCAGCGGGAGAGGGGGGCCCGGCCGGGACCGACCTCCCGCGCGCCCTGAGCCCCCCTCCCGCGCCCAGGCGCCGCTGCAGGACTGGGGCGAGGAGACCGAGGACGGAGCGGTGTACAGCGTCTCCCTACGGCGGCAGCGCAGTCAGCGCCTGAGCCCGAGGGAAGGGCCCGGCGACGGCCAGGTGAGCGGGGACTGGAGGGCGGGGCGGGGCAGGTGAGGCCGGGGCGGGCGGGTGGAGTGGAGAGCCCCGCTGGGGCCCAGGGGCGGGCGGGGCCTGGGCGGCCAGGTAGGGTGGGCGGCCAGGTGAGTGGGTAGATGAGTGAGGTGAGCCAGGTCGGACCGCTTCGTGAGCGGGACCTGCGGGCAGCGGCCAGGTAAGCCGGGTTAGTGCGGCGGAGCTGGAGAGGGAGGGCTGGTCTCTAGGAGCAGCCGGGTGAACGCGGGTGGGGCGGAGGGCAGGGACCGGGACGGCCAGTGAAGCGGAGCTGGAGAGCTGAGAGCAGCCTAGGGGCGGGGCAGCGGGCAGGGCCGGGGCGGCCAGCGGAGTCCAGGTCATTTGTGTGAGGTGCAGGGTAACTCTGGGGGCCAGATTCCGAGGAGTGGGCGGGGTCAGATGCAAGAACCCTGCTAGCAACGGGTGTGGCTGGAAAAGGGGTGCTCCAGGGGCTGCCACTCTGAGGCATCATCACCCCTCTGCCTCGCAGACCCCCGGCCCCCATGCCAGCACCTTCCTCCATTACCGCACCAGCAAGGTGCGGATGTTAAGGGCGGCGCACCTGGAGCGGCTGGTGCGGGAGCTGGTGTCTGTGGACCGTGAGCAGGACCCGGGCTTCGTCCCTGCCTTCCTGGCCACCCACCAGGCCTTTGTGCCCACCGCTCGGGTTTTGGGCCTTCTCCTGCCACCACCTCCGCCGCCCCTGCCCCCCTGGTCAGTACCAATGGGGAAACCTCCACGTTCCCACCCCAGACCCTCACTGGGCCCTCCCTCGGGTTTAGAATCAGGAAATCCCCCCACCTCAGAACCCTTCTCCTAAGCATCCCCCCTCTCCCGGACACCCTTCTTCACCTGACTGGGGGGCTCCTTCCAGGGTAGAGATCAAGAAGACAGAGGGACAAGATCTGAGCTTCAACAAGAACCTGAGGTTGGTTTCCCACGTGGGTAGCTGTGAAAGGTCCTAGAGGTCAAAGGACGGACTGAGGTGTGGGGGCTGCAGAGCTCCCAGCTGGCCTCTGAGGCCTTGCCCCTCTGGCCAGGGCTGTGGTGTCTGTGCTGGGCTCCTGGCTGCGGGACCACCCTCAGGACTTCTGGGACCCCCCTGCCCACTCGGACCTGGGCAGAGTCCGAACCTTTCTGGGCTGGGCTGCCCCACTGGGGGCTGAGGCCCTGGAAGCAGAGAAGCTGCTGAGAGACTTCCTGGAGGAGGCTGAGCAAGAGCAGGACGAGGAGGAGCAGCCCCAGGCTTCCGCAGGTGAGGGGTTTGGGGCAATGATAGTGTCCTGAGCAGGCCTTTCCTGATTCATACCTCCCCCAGGGGGCTCCTCCCCTCAGGGAGCTACAGATCTTAGGCAAGGTTCTTTTTCTTTATTTAAAGAATATATTTTTTCTAGAGGCCCGGTGCACAACATTCATGCACTTGGGCAAGGGGGGAGGGCTCCCTTAGCCCGGCCTGCCCCCTTTCGCAGTCCCGGAGCCCTCGGGGGATGTCCAACTGACCCCTTAGGCCCACAAGCAGGCCTAAGCCACAGTTGGACATCCTTAGCGCTGCTGGGGAGGCGGGCTGCTCCGCTGGTCCGCCCCCATCTGGCTTCTGGCTGAGCGGTGGGAGTGCACTGACCACCAGGGGGCAGCTCCTGCACAACCAGTTGTCCCCGTTTGGTCTATTTGCATATTACCCTTTTATTATGTAGGATTGATTTCAGAGAGGAAGGGAGAGGAAGAGAGAGAATCATTGATCAGCTGCCTCCTGCATGCCCCCCACTGGGGATTCAGCCCACAACCCAGGCATGTGCCCTGACTGGGAATCAAACCATGACCTCCTGGTTCATAGGTTGACACTCAACCACTGAGAAACACCAGCCAAGCTTTTTTTCTTTATTTTTAAAAAATATGTTTTTATTGATTTTTAGAGAGAGGGGAAGGGAGAGGGATAGAGAGATAGAATCATCGGTTGGCTGCCTCCTGCACACCCCTACTGGGGATTGAGCCCACAACCTGGGCACAACCTGGGTGTGTGTACTGGCCTGGAATCAACTGTGAACTCTTGGTTCATGGGTTGATGCTCAACCTCTGAGCCACACTGGCTGGGCTAAACAAGGTTCTTAATCTTGTCTGAGCTTTAGTTTTCTAACCTATAAAATGAGGAAAATACCCTTTGTCTAACCTACTGGCACTTATCTAGCAGCTCCCTCCCACTTCTATCCTAACTACAAAGATGCTCCATCATTGGTTCAGAATGCCCTGCATTTTAACTACAAATCATTCCATTACTACTTACCTTAGGAGCCACAGAAATCTGGATTCAAATCCCAGTCCTGCCATTTGCTGACTGTGTGACCTTGGATAAGTCACTTCACTTCTATGAACCTCAGTTTCCCTACCTGTGAAACGGGGGCGATCACAGAACTTACCTGATTGCCTCTTCATTCATTTAGCTGATATTTAGCCACTGGCCTCTATGCACATAACAGTGGACAGCAGCTCTCAGTTCCCTGGGGAAGACAATCAGTAGACAAGTAAACATACAAACAACAAGGGCTTGGCAAAGAGTAATACTTTCATTATTATTGTTATCAATGATTCTTATTAGAATGTACCACTTGTAATGAAATATGTATAAGAAGCCATACTGATATTTTCTTGTATAGTAGGGGTCAGCAAACTGTCTGGTCTTTTATAGAAAAATCTACCAACTTCTGATGTAGAGAGCTTTGGGGGACAGGAGGGAAAAAGATCCATAGACTTCATTCAAGTCTTTGTTCAGTTGTCACCTTTCCAGACATGCCTTCTCTGAACCCCTCCCAACAAATTTATTCTCCCACGCTGTGCCCTTTGAACCTGCCTTATTTTCCTGCATAGTGCTCATTGGTTTTGTGCCCACCTCTGTCCCCAGGGGCAGGAACAATGCAGATTTGTTGACTGAATAATTATATATCCTGCTTATAAAGTATCATCTTTCACCCATCTGTGTTCCATCTGAGCCCTGTCACGAAAGCATCTGTATCCCTAATCCCCATCCTGTAATCCGCAGGTAATGGCTGCATTTCTCTCCTCTTTACAAAGTAGCAGCCACTTCTCCCACCTGATGAAACACTCAGTGATTTATATACAGGGCTGGGCAAAAGTAGGTTTATAGCTGTGAGTTCATGAAACATGGAGTTTATTCTTGTGTTATTAATTATTGTATTATTTTCCATATGAACAGCTGTAAGCCTACTTTTGCCATACCCTGTATATCTTATTCTTCCATCTTCTGGTTATTAAGTGTTTTTCTTCCTCCGCTGTCAAGATTTCACCAGCTGCCTTAGCCAGTTTGGCTCAATTGATAGAGTGTCAGCCCTCGGACTGAGGGGTCCTGGGTTTGATTCTAGTCAAGGGCAATTGCCTCAGTTGCAGGCTCAATCCCCAACCAGGTCGGGAATTGGGGGTCAGGAGTTGAGGCTCCTGTGGGAGTTGACTGGTCGATGTGTCTCTCTCGCATTGATGTGTCTCTCTCTCTGTCTCTCCCCCTCCCTTCCATTCTCTCTTTAAAAATCAATGGAAGAAATATCCTCAGGTGAGGATTAACAAAAATAAAAAATATATAATCTTCATGCCCACAATCATTTCCAACAAAATCAGCAATAATTACTTAATATCAAAACATGGCCAGTCTCTAGTCAAATCCCCGTATTTGTCCCTACATTGTCTTTTTTACAGTTGTTTCTTTAAAACCCAAAGATCCATTTAAGGCATTCAGTTGTGTTTCTTGGGTCTCTTTTAGTCTATGACAGTCCCCTTTGCCTTTCATGTAATGACAATAGGAAAAAAATGGGTCATTTGTCCTGAGCAGTGTCTCACATTCTTCTGCATTTGCCTGTTTGCTTTCTCATGGTGGCATGTGGTATGTTTCTCTATCCCCCATATTTGCTATAAGATCTGAAGGTTTGATTAGATATAGGTGCAATTTTTTTCCCAATGCCACTTAAAATATATATACATACATACTCTTGCTTTTATATGTGTGTGTGTGTGTGTGTGTGTGTGTGTGTGTATGTATTGATTTCAGAGAGGAAGAGAGAGGGAGAGAGAGATAGAAACATCAATGATGAGAGAGAATCATTGATCGGTTGCCTCCTGCACGCCCGTTACTGGGAATCGAGCCTGAAACCTGGGCATGTGTTCTTGACTGGAGTCGATCCTGGGACCCTTCAGTCCACAGGCCAATGCTCTATCCACTGAAACAAACCAGCTAGGGCCCAATGCCACTTTTAAAAAAAATGTAGCCCGGCCAGAGTGAGCCGGAAACCCAGGCATGTGCCCTGACCAGGAATCAAAACATGACCTCCTGGTTCATAAGTCGATGCTCAACCACTGAGCCATGCCAGTCAGGCCCAATGCCACTTCTTAAAAAACATATATTTTATTGATTTTTTTTTACAAAGAGGCGGGAAGAGGGATAGAGTTAGGAACATCACTGAGAGAGAAACATTGAACAGCTGCCTCCTGCACACCTCCTACTGGGGATGTGCCCGCAACCAAGGTACATGCCCTTGTCCAGAATCAAACCTTGGACCCTTTAGTCCACAGGCCGATGCTCTATCCACTAAGCCAAACCAGTTAGGGCCCAATGCCACTCTTTAAACTAATATTTTGCAATGCCACCTGTCTTTATTTGAAATGAAAGACAAGTAAGCAGACTTATTCAGATAATCTTAAAATAATAATATGATGTTGTAACTGTAATACCAAGGAAAAAGAAAACGAACGCAATTTGCACAAGGAACTATGCTCATTGCTGTGCTGGTGCTTGGGCATGCCTCACTAGAGGTCCTGTTGGAATCTCGCCGGTCGTAAGATCATGGTGAACGTGAGGCAGAAACACCTGCTAATGCGGGAGAGTGCACTGGCCACGCGGGCGCAGTAGCATAGATGTTGTGACATCATTTCCCAAAATGCTGAGCAACACTTGCAATTTCCAAACAAAACAAAGTTAGGGCTTTCACAGTCCTTGCATTCCTGGAGCCAAAATAATTAGTGTTTATGAGCAAGATAGTTGGGTGCAAGGTGCAGATTACTATAAACAGGGTTTTCAAGGACACACATGGACAAAAAGAAAACGTAGAATAGACAAAAAAGAAAAACAAGCAAAAGAAACAAGGACAGCAATGCCTCGGAGGGACATTTGGAGGCTGGGTGGCACAGTTCTCCACCTGCAGCGAGAGTCCAGCTCCTAAGGTGTCCCCTGTACTTTATAGCAGCCCGGTATGCGTGGTCTCATTTGATTTTTTTAAAAAGAAATGTGGGAGGGGGGGGGTCAAATAAAAAGAAATGCAGATGAAGAAAAGAAAGCGCAGAGAAGTTTAAAGGCTTGTTTTAGTTCCCACAGCAAGCCCAGTGGACAAGTTTGAATTTGAACTTGGCATTTTCTGACAATAACCTTCCCCAACCACCAAGTTATACCATCTCTCACCAAAAGAAAAGGGCAAGCCCTGCTGGTGTGAGCTTCAGCCTAGGAAGCAGGAGGTCATGGTTGGATTCCTGGTCAGGGCACATGCCCAGGTTGAGGGCTCAGCCCCAATGTGGGGCCTGCAGAAGGCAGCCGATCAATGATGCTCTCCTCCCTTCCTCTCTGAAAGGAATATATATATATATATATGATTTTTTCTTTATTTAAAATATATTTTTAAATATATTTTATTGACTTCTACAGAGAGGAAGGGAGAGAAGTAGAGAGTCAGAAACCTTGATGAGAGAGAAACATGGATCAGCTGCCTCCCGCACACTCCCCACTGGGGATGTGCCCACAACCAAGGCACATGCCCTTGACTGGAATCGAACCTGGGACCCTTGAGTCCGCAGACCAACACTCTATCCACTGAGCCAAACCGGCCAGGGCTGATTTTTTCTTAATAAAGTCACAAAGCTCTATTTTCTACGCTAGTCTTTGAGCACCTGGCTTCAAATCCCTGCCCTGTCATTTACCGAACTGACTTAAGGCAAATTGCTCCTCCCTGCCCCAGGAAGGTGGGTAATAGGTAGTACCTGGCTCACTAGTAAGTGTGCTAAATTACCGGGTTAAACCACACTACGTGCTCAGTGAACGTTACTGTTGCTTCAAGTCCTTACAGACATTCAGGGAGGTCTCCATTTCCCAGATGAGGACAGTGAGGCTCAGAAACGCTTAGGGACTTGCCCTGGGTCCCACAGCCAGTCCGGCATTCACCCTGGAGAGTTTTAACCCGCTCTAATGTTCCCTTAGGGCCTCCTGGGACTGCCCGGACCCCCAGCCCAGACTCCCCCGAAGGCTACTTGGAAGAGGAGGAAGGGCTGGTGCAAGAAGGCCCTGAGCTGCTGGACTTCAGTGTAGACCAAGTGGCTGAGCAGCTGACTCTGATGGACGTGGTGAGGATGCAGGAGGGGCGCCGTGGGGGTGGGGAGAAGGGGCAGGTCCGGCTGAGGACAGATCCTACCCCCACCCCCTTTCAGGAACTCTTCTCCCGCGTGCGGCCCTGCGAGTGCCTGGGCTCCGTGTGGTCCCAACGGGACCGGCCAGGGGCCGCCGGCATCGCCCCAACTGTGCGCGCCACTGTGACTCAGTTCAACCTGGTGACCGGCTGCGTGCTGGGCTCTGTGCTCGGGGCGCCAGGCCTGGCTGCCCCGCAGAGGGCGCAGCGGCTGGAAAAGTGGATCCGCATTGCCCAGGTGCCTGTTCGGGGGCGGGGCCCAGGTACCTAAGAGAGGCTGGCATGGGCGGAAGGCTCAAGCCTGGGGTCTGGGGGTGTGGACAGCATTGAAGCTGGAAGGTGCCAAGGGAAAAGCCGAGGACAAGGCTGTGCCAGGCTGGGGCCGGGGTCGCCGAGAAGCGGGGTAGGCCTTAGGATAAGTGGATGGGATGGGTGTGACCGGGCGGGTACAGGACTGGAGGAGGGACCAAAGCCCAGAGAAGGGGACAGGGGTCCCGATAAAGACTAGGTAGGGGCGGGGCAGGAACCTCTGGTCAGAGAGGAAGAGACAGAAATGAGGGCCCTGGAGAGGGAAGGCGCGTGGCCAGAAGAGGGAGTGGAAAGGTTGAACCTGGCCTGAGACTTGGGTTCCCAGATTAGGGGTCTGGGCTCCGGAGAGATGCCGCGGGCGCCTCTAGTGCCCACAGAGAAGTTAGAGCTCGAGACAGAAGCCAAGGTCAGAAGTAGGGGCTGCAGGGGGAGGGGCCGGGCAGCAGGTGGGGAGACGGAGGGACTCCGGAGAGGGAGACGGTCCTGGCAGCCTGCCTGTCCGATGTGGGGCCAGTCGTAGAGGTCGGACCTGGGGTGAGAAGTCAGGAGACCATCGGAGGCGGATTATAGCTGCTCAGGCTTGGGGTCTGAGCGGCGCCCCCCCCTCGCCCCCCCAGCGCTGCAGGGAACTGCGGAACTTCTCCTCCCTGCGCGCCATCCTGTCCGCCCTGCAGTCTAACCCCATATATCGGCTCAAGAGCAGCTGGGGCGCTGTGAGCAGGTGAGCAAGGATGGGGAGAGAGGCTTGGGCGAGACCTCCCTACCCTCCCAGCCCTGACCCTCCCAGCCCTGACCCTCTCCTGTCCCCCACAGGGAACCGTTATCCACGTTCAGGAAACTTTCGCAGATTTTCTCAGATGAGAACAACCATCTCAGCAGCAGAGAGATTCTTTCCCAGGTACAGAGGCCTGCCCCGGGACCTGGGGCAGGCAAGGCACAGGCTGTCCTTGTCCTAACGTTCAGCGTCCTTCCCTGCACCCCAGAAATGACCTTGTCCTTGTGTGTGGGCAGCCCGAGTTTTTACTGCCTCTGCTGCCCTCATGATAGTTCACACTTGCTAACCGCCTTATTTATTCATTCAACAAATACCAGAAGTTACAAGGAAAAGGTCACTCAAGGCTAGAATCACAGCGAAGAGTGAAAAAAAAAATTGACTTTAATAAGCAAAACTAGCAAACGTGTGCCCACAGATCAGACTTACTGTAGGCAAGATCGAGGTTCTAAATGCAGTTAGGTTGTTAGGGTGAGTCCAGAAAAGATGGGACAGTCCTCACATTCACCTCCTGCAGGTCCCTACCCAGATGTTCCCTCCGAGATACCCTCCCTGTGCCCCCCACATCTCATTCTTTTTAAAAAAGAATATAATTTTGTTGATTTCCAAGAGGAAGGGAGCGGGAGAGAGAGATAGAAACATCAATGATGAGAGAGAAAATCATCAATTGGCTGCGTCCTGCAGGCCCCTCACTGGGGATCAAGCCCCCCAACCCGGGCATGTGCCCTGACCAGGAATTGAACTGTGACCTCCTGGTTCATAGGTCACTGCTCAACCATTGAGCCATGGGGCTGGGCTCTATTGTTCGTTTCTTATCTCTGAGTATCCTTAATTACATGTTAAGTTTGGTTGTTGCTCTCTCTTCCTCCCTGATGTCTGCTCCGTGAGGCGTGTTTTTGTATGTTTTACTCACTACTGCTACCCCAGGAGCCAGAGCAGTGCCTGGCCCAGAGCAGGCTCTCAATTAATATCTGTGAGTGAATGAATATCTCAAGCAACAGGAACTCTGCGTTAAGCACCTACTGTGTACTAGGCACTATGCCAGGAGGCTTGGCCAGGAACTAGAGAGACACAGCTCCTGCCCTGGGGGTGAGGGTGGGTGGGAATCAGGCCCCAGACAGGGGGGGCCCACAGGGCAATGATAGCTGCCCCCGCAATGATGTAATTAACCAGGCAGAACGATGCCGTGAAGGCAAGTTCAGGGCATTCCCAGGGGATTGCCTGAGGGCCTGGTCCCTCAGACCTGGGACAAAGATTCTCACCTGTGCTGAGGCTGTCCTCGGGGGCCATGGCACCCTCAAGCCCCACCTCGGGTCATCCTCAGTGGGGCCTACCCCCTGCCACTAATCTGCTCCCTTCCTCCCTCCCCCTGTTCACTTTCCTTGGAGCGTGACCTTTGCAACTGGTTTGTAATTGCAAAATGGGCCTGGCCGGCATGGCTCAGGGGTTGAGCATCTACCTATGAGCCAGGAGGTCACGGCTCAATTCCAGGTCAGGGCTTATGCCAGGGTTGTGGGCTCGGTCCCCAGTGTGGGGCATGCAGGAGGCAGCCAATCAATGATTCTTGATGTTTCTCCCCCCCCCCCCTCACCCCCCCATCCTCTTTGAAATTAATAAACATATATTTAAAAATAAAAAAAAATAAAAGCAAAATGGGTGTGTATTGAGGCTTCTTCCCTGAAGGAGAGGTCCAAGAGACCCCAGATCTCAGTTCTTCTCCTGCCCACAGGAGGAGGCCACTGAGGGACCCCAAGAGGAGAATACGCCCCCAGGGAGCCTGCCTTCAGTGAGTGGTGGTAGTTTGGGGTGGGGGACAAGCAGGACCCTCATGGAAGGGGATGGAGCGTGATGGGGTCTGTGATGGTGGAGAGTGACTGGAGCTCTGGGGGCCACAGAAACTGCCCCCAGGCCCGGTTCCCTACCTTGGCACCTTTCTCACGGACCTGGTTATGCTGGACACAGCCCTGCCGGACATGCTAGAGGTCTGACTCCTGACCCTTGACCCCAGTACCACTTGCCCTCAGCACAGTGGGCTCCTGACATCCCACCTTTGACCCTGCCTGCAAACCCAACCCCAGCTCCCTTAGTGCTGTAGGGCTCCTGACATCCCAACCCTGACCTTGACCCTCCATCAGTCCTTAATCCTGGAGACTCCAATTCAGACAAAGTTTTCCCCCAGGGGGATCTCATCAACTTTGAGAAGAGGAGGAAGGTGAGTGGGCGCTGGGGCGGGTGTGGGAGGGGCCAGGGTGGGGTCAGGGCAGGGATGAGGTCTCAGAAACCATACCCTCAGGAGTGGGAGATCCTGGCCCGAATCCAGCAGATGCAGAAGCGCTGTCGGAGCTACTGCCTGAGCCCCTGCCGGCCCATCCTGGCTGCCTTGCGAGCCCAGCGCCAGCTCAGTGAGGAGCAGAGGTGACCACCCTGTGGCCTGGCCCAGCCCCAGCTCGACTGACCCTGATTTGCTTACCTTGTACACCTCTCCACATCCTTCTAAGGCCACCCGCCTCCTGAGCCTTGACCCCCAACCTGTGTCCTTGCATTATCTACAGCCCAATTGAGGGCCCCAAATGACCTCCAACCTTAAATTTGACTCTATCTGACTTTCTGACTTCAACTCAACCATCCCTTCTGTTTTCTTCCCTCCTCTGACTTTATCTGACCCGAGATCCCATTCATGACCCCCATCTGACTCCGAGCCCAATCAGACCCGCAATTTTGAGTAATTGACTCTGACTTTGATGTATATTTGACCGTCCAACTCAACTATCCCAATTATTTCCTTCATTCTGGGGAATCCATGACTCCTGTGATTGATTACCTGACCTTGAATTCTATTCTTGCCCCAATTTGACTCCTCAGTCCCACCTGTGAATCCCTGTGTGACCTGCCAGCCAAGCCATCCCATCTCATTCCGAATAAGACCCAGTTTCTTTATGACCCCATTTACTACTCTGACCCTGGTATTTGGTGCTAAGTACTTGGCTGTTCCCCACAATGTCCAAACCCAGCTCCCAACTGATTCTAACTCTCGTCTCCCAATGCCCCCATCTGCACCTTGACCCCTCAGCTACCGTGTCTCCCGTGTCATTGAACCACCAGCCGCCTCCTGTCCCAGCTCCCCACGTGTGCGGCGACGAATCAGCCTCACCAAGCGTCTCAGTGCGTGAGTCTTGGGAATGTGGGTGGGGTGATATGGGCAGAGACAGGGGGCTGCTTCTGGCTCTGAGTTTGGCCTCATCCTCATCCCCTGTCCCATCCTCAGGAAGCTGTCCAGAGAGAGAGGCTCCTCTCCTGGTGGGAGTCCTGGGGACCCCTCATCCCCCACCTCCAGGTGAGCATCCTGTTTAGTGAAGGAATTGGAGATGCAGGGTCAGAGGTCGGGGTAGCCACACCACCTCAGGCTCTGTGTCTCTCCCAGTCTGTCCCCAGGGTCTCCCCCATCCAGTCCTAGAATGAGGGACCCCCCTCCTGGAAGTCCCCCAGCCTCTCCAGGGCCCCAAGGCTCCAGCACCAAGGTACCAGTTCTGCCTGTGTGTGCATTTGGGACTGTGGGCACCCAGGGCTGTGTGTGTGTGTGTGCGCGCGTGTGTGATTTGAGGCCAACATACGAGATTGTACTCATGCTTGGCTCAGCACTGGAGGTGTCTGTCCAAGGGACCATGTACATTTTCATGGCCCTGATTGAGAAATTGTCCCTCCATCTGGCTTGTGCTAAAATCTGGACCTGTGTGTCTGCTCGCCCATGGTGCAATCCCACGTTTTGTTAGAACTGGTGTGTCTCCAGGAATTTGCATTCCTGAAGCGGAAATCTGGGCATGAATATCAACCATATCCACAGGCCCATGTGCTGGCTGTTCATGGATATGGACTTATATGTGTGCAGCAACTGTGAGCATATGTATGTATTCCCTGTTCTGTGTACATAGGATATTTTGTGTCTGAACATGGGTGTGTGTTTATCAATCGTGTAAATGTGTGTAACAGGAAATGAAGGTTTGTATGTGATGGGATTGCACAGATGTGGACTTGTGTGTATGTGCCCTAATTGTGTGTCCCCTGGCTTTGGGTGTGTAGGGGCATGTGTTGAATGCATTAATAAGGAAGGGGCCTAATGTTCTCCCACTGCTCAGCTCCCATCCCCCACTGCTTACAGCTGCCCCTGGCTTTGACCCTGAGCTGTCCTGGAATCCCCCACGTGGGGCAGCAGGGCTCAGAGGCCCGGGTCATCCGAGTCAGCATCGACAATGACCATGGGAACCTGTATCGGAGCATTCTGGTGAGGAACGGGGCCAGGGACCTGCTGAGGGCAGCCCTGCCTTTGGGGCTCAGACGGTCACATCTGACCTCCCGCTTTCTTTCCCCAGCTCACGAGTCAGGACAAGGTCCCCAGTGTGGTGCAGAGAGCCTTGCAGAAGCACAATGTGGCCCAGTTCTGGGCCCGTGACTACCAGCTCTTCCAAGTCCTTCCGGGGGAAAAGGGTGAGCAGGGACAGCTCGGAGCCTTGGTTGGGGGGCAGCTGGGAGATGGCCCTAACAGGGCCAGGAGGTGGTACAGGCACAGGGCAGGGATAAGATAAAACTGAGTGGGGGTAAGAAGCAGTAAAATATTTGTTCCTCAATTATATGAGTCATGTGGTTATCCTGGCTCAGTGCAAGGCAAGAGGGCACCTGGGATTATGGGGAAATGAGATTGCCCAGGGTTAGACAAGAGGGACTGTAGAAGCTTGTCTGGGCTTAAATGTATAGGATCACGAGGTTGCTCAGGCTTAACGTGGTGGGGTGCAAGACTGAAGGGGCTCTGGGCTTTAATTTGAGGGGAAATGAGTTTGTCCAGGCTCAGCCTGGGGAATCTGAAGGTGTCTGAACTTGGCACAGGAGAAGGCCAAAAGGTATTGAAATTCAGGGTAAGGGAGCATGAGGTTGTTCAGTGTAGGAGGTTGTCCAATTTTTGCAAGGGAGAGTCAAGAGGTTGCTATATTAAAGAACACGACATGAAGTAGGCTGGACATTAGGAAGAAAGGAATATATGAGGCTCAGGTGTCAAGGGCCATAGGTTGTGCAGGCTGGCAGTAGGAAGTCAGAGTTATCCAAGTTCATGGTAATAGCAGCATGAACTTGGCTGGGAATTGGCTATGAGGAGAGGGTGGGGTAGGAAGGAAGTTGTTAGGGATGGGTGGCCTGAGTTTGCCCAAGCTTGTAGTACAGGTTGTCTAGACTCCAGGGGAAGTGGCGGGAAGTTGCCAGGCTTGTGGTGGGGAGGAGACATGACGTTGTGCAGGCTTTGAGTGGGAAGTTGTCCAGGTTCCCAATGAGCGGAGAATGAGGTTGGCTTAGCACTGGCTGAAGGGACCCAAGGTTGTTCAGGCCTCAGGGTGAATGGCAGAAGGTTACCTAGGTGCCTTGTGGGGGGAGTATGCGGTTGTGCGGACCTTTCATGATTATGTCCACACCTGGCCAGAGCTCCTGATTCCCGACAACGCCAATGTCTTCTACGCCATGAGTCCAGCCGCCCCTGGAGACTTCATGCTGCGGCGGCGGAAGAAGGAGGAGGCCCAGCACACAACCTCAGTCTCCCCAACCTGAGCTGGCTCTCTCCTGCCTCCAGGACACAGGTCCCATGGGCAGCTTCTATCACCATGGGGGCAGGAAGGGCACTCCTCTCCCAGAAAGCTCCCATTCCCCAGTAGAGTCCATTGTGCCCCATACCCTGTGGCCCCCTCCCCCAACTTCACTGGGCCCCATCCCACTGACCCTCTTGGCACTGGATCCCTATTCCAAAGTCTTCTGCTCACAGGGTGGCTGGTGGAGAGCTCTATTGCGTACTGGGGGTCAGACCTTCCCTAGAGAAATCTTGTAAGTGTTGGAGATGCATCACAATGGACAGAAGTAGATGAAAACAGTGACCAAAGATATGAAACAGGAGTCAGTCTTCTTTGTTTGATGCCTGTGCCTCATGTTCATTCTTCATTAAGATTAAAAAATGTAAAAGAACCAAGAATCCTAAGGAAAGGATTGGGTGAAGCATGACCAGACACTGGGGGAGGGTGGCTGTCATACACACAGGTTTCAGGACTCCCCCAACATTTTTGGGGTAATATGCTGCTTTTCTGCTGTGTGTATGGGAGATGAAGAAATGAAATTCCATTGGAATCAGAGACAAAAACATCATCACCCATGAGTCAATAAGCTGTGAGGACAAAAGGTGAAGCTGAGTTCTCTCTCAGTACTGGGGTAGGAAGGAGAGACAGGTAGAGCCCAGCTGGCATGGCTCAGTGGTTGAGCATCGACCTATGAACCAGGAGGTCATGGTTGGATTTCCGGTCAGGGCACACGCCCGGGTTGCAGGTAGGGGACGTGCAGGAGGCAGCTGATCAATGATTGGCTCATCATTGAAGTTTCTATTTCTCCCTCTCTTTTCCTCTCTGAAATATATATGTAATTTTTATTTGTTTAAAGAAGAAGAAACAGGTCAAGAAGGCAGAGATGGAGTGAGCTATAGGGCATCTACAACAGTCACAGCAAGAGCAATAATATGCCCTCTTATGAACTCTGCTCTGTGCTGGACAATAACTAGGGGCTTTATATTTCTCTGTATTAATCAAGATTCTTTATGTTTCAAGTGGTCAAAAATCCAATTCAAACAGGCGTATGCATAAAGGAAATTAATGGCTTGTGTAATTTGAAAAATTTAGTGGGTCCACTTCAGGTACAGTTGGATCCAGGGACTGAAAAGATGTCAGGATTTTGTTGCTGTCTCTTGGCTCCAATTTTGCTCTAAGAATGAGACTGTCTGTTGTCCCCTCAAATCCAATCACCTCCTATGGTGATAGAACTAGTGACTTTTACCTGGTCACCCAGAGTAAAAACTGCCTTTCCAGTCTCCTTTGCAGCAAATGTGATCATGTGACTAAGTCCTGGCCAATGAGATGTAAAAGGAAAGGATGTGGGCAAATACAAGGTCCTGCTCTTAAAGGGGTAGTCCTCCCCTTCCTCCTCTTCTACCTCCCGCTGTGTGGAGTGGATCCTGTGGAGTCAGGTGGGTCACACCCTCTAAATAACTGAGCAACAAAAGGAAAGGAGCATGGAACCGCCATATTGTATTGCTGCTACTTGGATTGTTGCATAAGAGAGAAATAAATGTCCATTTTACTTGAACCACTATTATTTGGGTTTCTATTATAGTAGCCCGAAGAACATTTTAAGTAACATAGCCCCACTCCAAGGCAGGCTCACACCTCCTGGGAGCATTGCCAGGCTTACATCCCACCATCTCCTTCCTCCTATGCAAGGAGAACAAACCCCTTTCTCCCATCAGGCCCAGCAAAAGGCCCACAGCAGATGCCCATTGGGCCAATTGAACCAATAGCAGCGGTTCTCAACCTGTGGGTTGCGAACAATGAAAATACATCCTGTATATCAGATATTTACATTACGATTCATAACAGTAGCAAAATTACAGTTATGAAGTAGCAACGAACATAATGTTATGGTTGGGGGTCACCACCACATGAGGAACTGTATTAAAGGGTCGCGGCATCAGGAAGGTTGAAAACCACTGGAGAGGAATGAGATACTAATTAGCCAGGCCTGGGTCCTGGGCCCATCCTTTGAGCTGGCAGAGGAATTTCAAACCACAGGAGTCAAGTCTGGGAGGGCACAACAATTGAAATTCCATTTGGGTGTTGTTACTAGGAGAAGGGAGAATTCTGGTGAATGGGCAATAAAACAAGCCCTAGGGTTCTAAACATTGTCTTTGGAGCAATAATGGGGGATGCTCAGGCCCTGTCTGGGGTAAGAGAGGAGATAGAAGAATCTAAGCATCATGTAGGGTCTGTTAAAAGACAGATTACAGCTTTGGCCGGTTTGGCTCAGTGGATAGAGCATCAGTCCTCAGACAGAAGGGTCCCGAGTTCCATTTAGGTTAAGGGCATGTACCTCGGTTGGTGTCTCATATCATCCATGTTTCAGTCAAGGCACATGCCCGGGTTGTGGGCTCAATCCCCAGTAGAAGGCGTGCAGGAGGCAGCCGATCAATGATTCTCATCATTGATATTTCTATATCTCGCTCTCTCTCCCTTCCTCCCTGAAATCAATACAGTACACAACATGCTACTCTACAGGCTTTTTAAGGGGGAGGGGTTACTATGAGTATTAAGACCTTAGTACTAATTGGGTGTAAATAACAATATCTTGAACTAGCTTAAGCAAATAATAATCTATATATATAAAAGGCTAACATGCAAAGTGTCCCCACGGGAGTTCGACAGGGAGACCGGGAGTTTGATTGCTCGCTATAATGTGCGCTGACCACCAGGGGGAAGCGCAGAATGAAGGAAGGCCCCAGCTGGCAGCCGGAAGGAAGGCCCCGATTAGCCCTGATTGCCAGCCAGGCCTAGGGATTCTACCTGTGCATGAATTTCATGCACTTGGCCTCTAGTTGCTATATAATGTAATATGTCCATTTTATCTCAATAAAAATAAAATAATTGTTATTCTTATGGAGTGCTTACTATGTACCAGGCTCTGTTCTAATAATCTATCTCATTTAATCCTCATAATAACACTGTGGAGTAGGCACTATTATTTCACCCATTGTATACATGAAAAACTGGGACTAGGGAGGGTTAAACTATCCAAGGTGACAGGGTAGGTGGCAAGGCTGGGGTGCGATGTGCTAGAACATGTGCACTTAACAACTGGCTGGTTAGCCTCTCAGAATCACAGTTTACAGTTTCTGTCTTTCTTACACACACAGTCCAAATACAATTTCCTGAGGAAGAGATTCTCTGACTCACCTTGTTTTTTGAAAGTGCACAGGCAGCCCTGGCCGGTGTGGCTCAGTTGGTTGAGTGTCTTCCCTTGCACCAAAAGGGTGCCAGTTCGATCCCAGGTCAGAGCACATGCCCCGGTTGCAGGCTTGGTCCTGCAGTCCAGGTGTGTATGGGAGGCAACTGATCACCACATTGATGTTCCTCCCTCCCTCCCTCCCTATCTCCCTCTGGCCCTTTCTCTCTAAAATCAATAAAAATATTAAAAAATAAAAGTGCAGGGTACTCAGGCATAGCTCTACCCCATAACTAACAAGATCTGTATCTTTACATCTCTTAGTGGGGCTTTTCTCTAATCTTTGCTTCACAGATATTCCGCCCCTCCCCCAACAAATATTTCTTGAGCTTCTACTGTGTACCAGTCTTTGTTCTATGTGCTGGGAACACAAAAATGAACAAAACAGACTACTGAGGGCAGTGAATCAATAACAAAACATCCTACACATTAGATTATATTACCCACAGAGGATGCAAAATCTATACTAATAAAAGGGTAATATGCTAATTAGACTGGGAGACCTTCCAGGAGACCTGGACAAAGCCATGGTGGGGAGGCCGAGGCAGTTAGGGGCAATCAGGCCAGGAGGGGAGGGCAGTTGGGGGTGAGCAGGCTGGTGTGGGGGTAGTTGGGGGTGAGCAGGCCAGCAGGGGGGGCAGTTGGGGGAGAGCAGGCTGGTAGGGGGGGCTGGTGGGGGGCCGTTGGGGGCAATCAGGCTGGCGTGGGAGGGCAGTTGGGGTGAGCAGGCCAGTGGGGAGGGCAGTTGGGGGGCAAGCAGGCTGGTGGGGGGGCCGGGGGGACCGTTGGGGGCAATCAGGTCGGTGGGGGGGGCAGTTGGGGGCGATCAGGCCAGCAAGGGGGGACAGTTGGGGGTGAGAAGGCCGGCAGGCAGAGTGGTTAGGGGCAATAAGGCAGGCAGGCAGGTGAGCAGTTAGGAGCCAGCAGTCCCAGATTGTGAGAGGGTGCAGGCCAGGCTGAGGGACACCCCACCCCATGCACGAATTTTGTGCACCAGGCCACTAGTATATATATATAAAAGGCTAATATGCAAAGTGTCCCCTCAGGAGTTCGACCAGGAGACCAGGAGTTTGATTGCTTGCTATGACATGCACTGACCACCAGGGGTGGCACAGAATGAAAGAAGGCTCCGGGACAGCCTGAAGGAAGGGCCCGATCGGTCCTGATCACCTGCCAGGCCTAGGGACCCTACCCATGCATGAATTTCGTTCACCGGGACTCTAGTAATAATAATAATAAGCCACTTAAGGGCAATGGGGAGTGTGGGATGATAGGGCTGCTGTTTTAAATAGGGTGATCAGAGAGGACTTCATTGAGAAGGTGACATGAGGGCAGAGGCCTGAATAAAGTGAAGGAGTGATCCCTGATATTTAGAGGAAGAACCTTCAAGGCAGAGGGAACAGCTGGTGCAAATGCCCATGTTATCTTCACCATCTGCCCACTTCTTCCCTCCAGGCAAAGGTGTTCCTGGCTACTCCATCTGACCACCTTGTTGCCCAATAAAAAGCTGCACCCCCTTTCCCGGTAAGGCCCGGTCAAGTCCTAGGATGGGAGCTCAGCGATTGCATTTGGATCACATGCCTGCCCTGAACCAATCACCGTGCTCTGGGGAATGGAGCGTTTAATGGGCTAATCTGGGGCTGGCAGGAGCAATCAGGCAGGTATCACCCCTCCTCAGGCATGTGCCTTTGTGGGGTGTTTACCCCCGTTTAAGCTCAGGCCAAGCAAATAGCTTTTATGGTTTGTTCTAGAATTACTTGCCACATTATTAAAAGAACTGCACACTCCTTATAAAATGCCGAATATACAGATGTAAACAGTACATTTTTTACAAAAAGCAAAATCACAAAACCTCACACTCCAGAATATATGCCATTTGACCAGTACAGAGTCATTTCATACATGCTGTCTGGCGGCACTGCCTCGCATTGTGCAAACACTCAAGAGCGAGTCACTATGACGATTTTATTTTACTCCTACCCAGACCGGGATGTGTTAATTCACGCGATAATATCAATAGCTTGCATTTTTGGAATGTTTGCTATACGCCAAGCCAATTCTTACAGATGAAAATGCTGACGCTCAGATAAGGTCGGCACCTGCCCAAGGTCACACAGCAAGAAAGTGTTTCCGATACAGAAACCCCGAGGGGTTCCCGCCCCCGCCCCCAAGCGGCAGCAGGGCGAGAGGGCCCCTGCCTCCTCCCGCGGGGCCTGGCGGGGCTGCCGCCTCCCCTTATCTCAGTCCAGGCTGCCTGCTGGTCCCGCCCCCTCGGGGAAGCTGCCACTTGGAGGCGCCTGGCCGGGAAGGGCCTGGTCAGCTGTGTCCGGTGGAGGCAACTGCTGACCCAGCTGTGGACTGTGCCAGAGGTGGAGGAAGTTTGGAGAAGGAGCTCTGGGCCCCCCGCGGCGGGGGCTGCATCATGGATCACCTCGGGGCGCCCCTCTGGCCTGGAGTCGGCTCCCTCTGGCTCCTGCTCACTGGAGCCGCCTTGGCTCCCCCTCCTAACTCCCCGGGCCCCAAGTTTGAAAGCAAAGGTAAGGAAGGATGGAGCTGTGGACGGACCCCGACACGGTCCTGGAGGGCAATGCAGGGGCCGGAACTGTCAGCCTCGGTCCTGAGGACCGAGCTGGTGTCTGAAGCCCCAGGGCGGTTCTGCGGAGGCCTGCGGGGTCTAAGTCCCCGGGCTGGGTTCTCGGGGGTACCGCTGGAGAGAAACGCAAGGCTCCTGTTTTATCTTTTCAGGGAGCTGGGACATGCTCCATCCTAATGGGTCTGGGCTCCGCGGTCTGGAGTCCCTGGGGGGAGAGGACCTAGCGGACCTCCGGCGAGGGAGGGAGGAAAACCCGGGTCCGAGGCACAGGGGCCGGGCCGCAGGCGACTGTAAACACGGTTTGCGTGCGGGCACCAGATCCCCTGCGACGCTGGGTTGAGGGAGGGGGCGGGGGGCACGGTTGGCGCTATCGGGAGGCCAGGAGCCTGCCGGGTCCGATAGGGGGCCCCGCCTCCTCCATACCCACCCACCGGCTGGCTGGTCCTGGGCCGGGGCGGCGGGTGGGCTGCGGGAGACCGGGGCCTTGAACGCTGCGCTCAGTTCAGCGGGTGGCGGGATGGATGGGTATGTGTGGGGCAACAATAAGGCAAGTATCCTGGGCCCGGGAGTTCGGGAGGCACCACCTCTGCGTACCCCTCCAGGGCCCTGCTGGGGTGGAGAGCTGGGTGGGGCTTTTGTCTTATCGGTCCGCACAGGCGACGGGAAAGAGGGGGAGGGCGCTGTGGTCCGAAAACTGGGCTCGGCTCGCCTGACCCTTCCCCTTGCCCCCAACTCCCCGCCCCCAACCCCCCCCCCCCGCCCCCAGCGGCCCTGCTGGTGGCCCACGGGCACAAAGAGCTCCTGTGCTTCACCGAGCGGTTGGAAGACTTGGTGTGTTTCTGGGAGGAGGCGGCAAGCGCGGGGATCAGCCCCGACAACTACAGCTTCTCCTACCAGCTCGAGTAAGTCCGACGGGCAGGCGGAACGCCTCCAAGGGTGGCGGGGCGGGCGGGGCTGGCACCTCCCCTGCCGGTGGGAAGCCCGGGGTATCAGCACGGACACCTCCCCTAGTGGCCGGGGCTGGAACACTTCGGTGATCACCGGTTGAGCGGGGCTCCAAACCTCAGGGCTGGGACAGCAGCCTCTCAACCAGGTCCAAGGTGTCGCCTACCTGGGTCTGGGACGCCCCCTCGTGGTAGTGACCAGAATAAACCTGGCCGGGTCAACACCCCCCAACTTGCTCCCTTCCCTCCCGGGTCCCGCCTCACTCAGGGGTGAGCAGTGGAAGCCGTGCCGCCTGCACCAGGCGCCCGCGGCGCGCGGAGCGGTGCGCTTCTGGTGCTCGCTGCCCACGGCCGACACGTCGAGCTTCGTGCCCTTAGAGCTGCGCGTCACAGCGGCCTCGTCCGGTGCTCCACGCTACCGCCGGGTCATCCAGATCAACGAAGTGGGTAAGTTCGCCGGCAATGGGCGAGTGGATGGAGGGAGGTCTCTGTCTCCGCCCACTGGAGCCGCCCTTCTCGGCAGTGCTCCTGGACCCCCCAGCGGAGCTAGAAGCGCGGCGGGCGGACGAGGGCGGCCACGTGGTACTACGCTGGCTCCCACCTCCTGGGGCCCCCATGGCGAGCCTCATCCGCTACGAGGTGAACATCTCCGCAGGCGGCGCCGCAGGGAACGCGCAGAAAGTGAGACTCGCCCCTACTGCCCACCCCCAGCTCTCCCAAAGGTCCAGCCCCTCTAAGTCCCGCCCAGACGGTCACCACGGCCTCGCCCCTCCAGGTCCGCCCCTGACGCCCGACATCCCATTGCCCTGGGGCCCCAGACAGCTCCACGCCCACGCACAAGACCCCTTTCTCCAAGCCTCCCCAGCCCACCTAAACCCTGTCCCAAACCCTAGATCACTTTCAGGGCCCGCCCCCTCCATGCTCTGGGCCCCTGTTTACCGGCCCCCATCCTGATTGGCCCCGAGCCCTCCTGGAGCCCCACCTCCTACTCTCATTGCTCCTCGGGCGCCGTCCTTCCTTCCTCTGATTGGCCGCCCCACCTGCCTGTGTCCTTTCGCGCGGCCAGGTGGAGATCCTGGACGGCCGCACCGAGTGCGTGCTGAGCAACCTGCGGCGCGGAACGCGGTACACCTTCACGGTGCGCGCGCGTATGGCGGAGCCGAGCTTCGACGGCTTCTGGAGCGCTTGGTCGGAGCCTGCGTCGCTGCTGACAGCTAGTGGTGAGGCCCCAGGTAGGGGTGTAGGGGGGTTGGGGCTGAGCTTGGGGCCAACCCACTGCCCTGACCTATTCCTGGCTCTCCAGACCTGGACCCGCTCATCCTGACGCTCTCCCTCATCCTCGTGCTCATTCTGCTGCTGCTGGCCGTGTTCGCTCTCCTCTCCCACCGCCGGTGAGCACCCCATTTGGCCACCTGATCCAGACCCCTCCCCACTAGGTCCCCCCTTTCCTTGTGGAAACCTAGGCTCAGAGAGGTAGGCACCTGCCCGAGGTGAACAGTAAGGAGTCAGTGGCAGGGCTGGGATGCAAGCCAGGCTCAGACTCTTAGTTAAAATATGCTGGGGGACAGCCATCTGGTTTTTCCCTTTTAGATTCCTTTGCAAATTCCTTTACTTTTGTAAAGTCAACGAGATGGGCTTAAGGGAAAGAGGTAAGCCCTGTGTTCCTTCTCTTCCGTTAAGCTCTTCAGACACTTTATGATATGACCATTCCTCTGAGGGTGGTTGTAACTCTAAGCACATACCATGTGGTTTCACACCACCAAGCTTTGGCACATGCGATTCCTGCCTTGTCTGCTTGGCAATCTCCTCGTTGTCTTTTAAGGCTCTGTTCATTTATTGGGTTAGAAAATACATATTGAGTGTCAACTATGTATTAGGCACAGGGAAGAGGAGTGGAGACCAAGCCAGACATGTCCCTGACCCGGTGGATCTCATAGTTGAGTCAGACAACAAACAAGGGAACCAACAGATATTTGATTATAAGTTATGATGAGTGATATCACAGAAATGGGATATGGGGACATGACAGCATGGATAGGGAGGGAGGTGACCTTAGAGTAGAAATCTGAAGGTTGGAAGGAAGCAGCCATGAAAAGCAGGGAGCAGAAACAATTGTGCAAAGGCCCTGAGGTGGGAATGAGCTTGGCACAATGAAGCACCTTCAAGAGCTCTATGGCTAGAACAGAGTGTGTGAGGAGGGAGTGGTGGGTGATGAGGGGAATGAAGTAATAGGGGTGACAGTAGGCAGGGTTGCCTGCAGGGCTGTAGGGAGGAGATAATGCATTGGGGAACCAGGGGGAAGAGTGGGAGAGGTGACACGATGGACCTCCAGGCAAGCCTGGGCCAGGTTTAGGGGGGCATGGGGCACTGTGTATTGAACTCCTACACATCCTTCAAAACTGTTTCAGTTGCCTTCCTGTATGTCTGTCTCTATAGATGCTTCAGCCAAAGCCCCTGCTCCCCATCCCCTGTGCACTCCTCTGCCTTCATCAGGATCACCAGGAGCGAGGAGTGTCTGTGCCCCTGCGACTGGATACGGAGGGGATATAGGTGTGTTCAACGACACATGCCCATGTACTTGTTTCTTTTGGTCTCACCAGGGCTCTGAAGCAGAAGATCTGGCCTGGCATCCCAAGCCCCGAGAGTGAATTTGAGGGCCTTTTCACCACCCACAAGGGTAACTTCCAGGTAGGTAGTCTGGTTGTCCCCTCAGGGCCTGTGGCGTCCCTGCTCCTGTGGCCAAACTCCAGGTTTCTGAGCTGGCTGGTACTGCTTCCCCAGCTGTGGCTGTATCAGAATGACGGCTGTCTGTGGTGGAGCCCCTGTACCCCCTTCGCAGAGGACCCACCTACCCCACTGGAAGTCCTTTCTGAACGCTGCTGGGGGGTGACACAAGCAGTGGAGCCAGGGACAGATGATGAGGGGCCCCTGCTGGAGCCAGTGGGCCGTGAGCATGCCCAGGACACCTACCTGGTGCTGGACAAGTGGCTGCTGCCCAGGAGCCCGCCCAGCGAGGACCCCCCACAGTCTGGGGGCAGTTTGGACATAGCAGCCATGGATGAAGGCTCAGAAGCATCCTCCTGCTCATCGGTTTTGGCCCTGAAACCAGAGGGGGCCTCGCCGGCCAGCTTTGAGTACACCATCCTGGACCCCAGCTCCCAGCTCCTGCGCCCAAGGGCATTGCCCCCTGAGCTGCCCCCCACCCCACCCCACCTAAAGTACCTGTACCTCGTGGTGTCGGACTCTGGCATCTCAACTGACTACAGCTCAGGGGGCTCCCAGGGCATCAAGGGGGACTCATCCAATGGCCCCTATTCCAACCCTTATGAGAATAACCTTGTCCCAGCCCCCGAGCCTTCACCTCCCAGCTATGTGGCCTGCTCCTAGGACTCTAGGCCTCAGATGCTGGGGCACCCAGCATGACCTCAGTGCTAGTCTAGGGCCAAGGCCTATCTGGCAGGGTTGGTGAGGCCTCTCTCAGGACCAGGGGCATTTCTGACCTGGCTCTGAGCCTAATCCATCCTTAGGAAGGCACAGCCTTGCAGTATTTCTAAATGTACAGGTGTATTTTTTTGTTTTATATATCTATATCTATAAATATATGTATAGATATGTAGATATAGATAGATATATTGCTGCTCTTATGGCTTGGGCTATAGGGGGAACAGTATAAAAGGCTGTGAGCTCCGTCTGAAATTCAGGACTTGGAAGTCTGAATAATAATCATAATAAAATGAACTAACCACTGTAAGTTACACTAGCTGCCATAACAAACAACTTCTAAATCTGAGTGGCTTAACACAGTTAGTTTCTCTCATACTTCAATTCAAACAGGTGGGCAGCCATCCCTGGGATGAGTCAGAAGCTGAGACTCTTCTGGTCTCTAGCTTCACCATCCAGGGTCACCCTGGGGTGTTTAGTTAGATCCTCAGCATCCAACCAGCCAGCAAGTAAAGGGAGAGAAAGAATTCTGTGGGCCATTTTAAGGATCTAGCCTAGAAGTGGGCTCCAGTGGCCAGAAATGGTCACGTGACCTCAGCTAGAGCCATGGATGGCTGGAAAATGTAATTTAGCTGTGCACCCACAGAGAGGAAAGCTGTTTAATGGGCCTCTAGCTTGTCTCTACCAGTAACAGTAACAACATTAATTCACAGGGCTTTATTCTATATCAGGCCCCATTCTAAGGAAGCATTCTGATGACGACAAATGTTATGAAGTGGGCTCAATGGGAGTTCAAGTTTAAACACTTTTTATTATTATTATTATTATTATTATTATTATTATTTTTTAATCCTCACCCGAGGATATGTTTTCCATCGATTTTAGAGAGGAGGGGAGTGGGAAAGAGCTACATTGATGTGAGAGAGAAACATTGATCAGTTGCCTCCTGTACCCACCCTGACCAGGGATCAAACCCACAACCTGGATATTTGTCCTGACCTAGAATTGAACCTGACTGTGACCCTTTGGTGCACAGGAAAATACTCTAGCCAGCTGGGCCTCACTGGCCAGGGCAAGTTTAACCATTTTTTAAAAGTTTGGCATAACTTACGAAAGCTGGACATATGCATACCTTCTGCTGCAGCAATTCAATTTCTAGATATAGAGCCTAAAAACCCTCACACATACACCAGGACCTGTGTACAAGAATGCTCATAGCAGTGAATAAGTCAATCTGATCTATACATTGGAATTATATACAATAGAGAAAAAGAAATTAACTAAAGCCCTGGCCGGTGTGTTCAGTGGTTAGAGTGTTAATCTGCCCACTGAGGGAGTCCCGAGTTTGATTCTGATCAAGGGCACGTACCTGGGTTACAGGTTCAATCCCTGGCTGGCCCTGGTCAGGGTGCATGTAGGAGGCGACCAATCGATATGTTTCTCTCACACAGATGTTTCTCTCTCCCCCTCCCTCCCTCCCACTCTCTGAAAATCAATGGGAAAAATATCATCGGGTGAAAATTAAAAAAAAAAAAAAAAGAAAAGAAATGGACTAAAAATGTGGCCAATTCATAGCAACAATGTTGAGGGGGAGAAGAAGTCTCAAAGATTGTATTTCTAATAAAACTCTTTTTATAAAGTTAAAAACAGCAAAACTAAACAATATGTTGACAGGGTACAATATATACATGATAATGCTATTTTGAAAAGAGAAAAGGCACTTTACATTCTTTAGGTTTTTAAATCTGTACGTGTCCGTGAAACAGGCAGAGAGAGGTGGTCACACACCAAAGCTCAAGGCTGGCCTCCAGAGCTTGGACCCTGGTTTGAGCTGGGGTCACCAGCCTGGGTAGGCCATGGGGTGATGGTCATCTCTCCATCAGGTTGGAAAGCCACACGCCACTCTGCCCTGGGTCCCAGCCCGCCGGGCTCCAGGCAGGCTCTGAAGCAGCGCTGTCCTGAGCCTGGTGCCACTGGCTGCAGCCAGCACTGGGCAGGGAAATACCTCTGGAGAAGCGACAGCTGCAGGGGATCACCACTGTCTCCTTCCTCCTGGGTCTGTAGGGCCACAAGGAGCCCACAGCCTCGGCCAGGCCCAACCTGGTGGCTGAAGTGGGCAGCTGTGTCCAGAAGCAGGGCAGCCAGGTAGGCAGCTTCCTGGGGCTCCGGGTCTTCAGCGAGGTACTCCTCCAGACCATCAAGCAGCAGAAGGAAGGGGGCTGGTCCCCGGGCCTCATGGGCAGAGCACAGGAGCTGAAGAAGGTCATGGGTTGAGGGCGGGTATTGGAAACGGATCTTCTAGAGGAAGAAAACAAGGCAAGGGCCAGATTCAGCACAGCAAGCCAGGCTCCCGCTTCCACAGCCTGCTTCCCTGCATACTTTCCTGGAGGAGGCCCTCCACTCCCAAGACAGCTGATTCCAAAGTGAAGCAGCTTAGAGTGGTCGAATATATTCTTCTATTGCCCCTCTCCCCCCCCCCCCCCGCCTTTTTATTTTTTATTTATTTATTTTTTTAAAAAATATATATTTTATTGATTTTTTTTTACAGAGAGGAAGGGAGAGAGATAGAGAGTTAGAAACATCGATGAGAGAGAAACATCGATCAGCTGCCTCCTGCACATCTCCTACTGGGGATATGCCCGCAACCCAGGTACATGCCCTTGACCGGAATCGAACCTGGGACCTTTCAGTCCACAGGCCGACGCTCTATCCACTGAGCCAAACCGGTTTCGGCATCTTTTTAAAAAATTATTTATCACTCGTTACTGTTCGGTATTAGTTCAGAACAGGGTGTATCTTTTTTTTTTTTTTTTTTTGAGCGATAGTGGCAAGCTTACAGTGAAAAGAGATCGTACGCCCTCAATGCAAGGTATTGTCTTCCTGCCAAATCTCGAGGTCAATCTTTCTGCGCAAAACCCACCCCCAGCCTTGCCTCTGGCTTCCCGGGGACCAACTCGTGTCCTAACAACAACCAGGGTTAGTCCGGCTCCTAACCAGCCCTGATCCCACCCTTTGGGCCCCGCCTTTCGCTAACTCCGCCTCCTCATTGGACAGTCTCTCACTCAATTTTAACAAACCTCACAAGTCCCACCCCCCTCGGCCCCCCACTCATTCGTGACTCCGCCCTAGAACGGCCGTCTGGCTCGTCCTTCCTTTGTCCCCTTCATTGGTCTGTCTAGTTGTCACTCAATCCTCGATCCGCCTTGCCACTGGCTGGCCCGTCTCAAGTCCCGTCTCCCTGGTACCTGTAGCCGCAGGGGGTCGAGCGCCGCCGGCGTCCGGCGGGGTAGGCTTTGCAGAGGCCTCCGTGTCAGGAAGAGCACGGGGCCTCGGCCCTCCCCTGCCGCCTCCAGGGCCGCCGCGAATAGCAGCGCTGTCTTTCCGGACCCTGGACCGCCGAGCAACAGCAAAGGTGGCCCAACCTCCGCGGCCATATCCTCCCGGGGCCCGGCCGCCCTACCGGGGCTTAGCACCCGCTTCAGCGTCTCCGCCATCCACAAGTGCCTCTCTGTCCAATCGGCGGCCCCTTCCTGCCCTTAATCCCGCCCAGTCCGAGGTCTCTGGTTACAGTGCACTTCGCTTCCCCATTGGTCTATGGATCTATCCATCAAGGTTAGATCCGCCTTTGCTAGCTCCAGCACTGGTGAAGGGATGATTAACCTAGTTGAGGGAGGAATTAGGGGCATTTGAGGGGGGAAAGGCCCTTCCCTTGGTTGAGTCTGCTGAGGAGAGCAGCACGAATACTATTATTGTGAGCCCATCAGCTAAAGAGACAGATGTAAGGTTGAGAGTTGAAGGGAGCAGACCCTACGGAATCGGTGACACACTGGTCTCCTAGTCTGTTTGCTCACGTGTAAAATGGAACCCATGGTGTCGCAGAGGAATATTGCTATGGGCATGTGTCTGTGGTTTTGCTGATGTCACCCGATGACAGTTGAGAAGCAGAGAGATGGAGAGGCTGTGTACTTCTCTTTCTGGGTCTGAGTACTGGCACCAGTGTCTGTCAGGGGCTGCACACTCAGGGACATTTGTGTGCAAAACCGAAGACTCTGTCCCCGAGGGTCTGCGAGGAGTTCCAACTGCTTCCCCATTGGCCTGGGGGATCCTGGGTCCTGCTAGAGGCAAGGGGGTAGGGGGCAGGCAGCTTTGTTCACTCGGTAACTCCAGCGCCCAGAACAGTGACTCGCTTATTGCAGATTCTCAGTATATAGGATGGGGCAAAAGTAGGCTTACATTTGTGAGTACAGGAGACAGTTTACACTTGTATTATCATTTATTAATTATTGTATTATTTCCCATACGGACAACTGTAAACCTACTCTGGCCCCACCCTGTGTGCTCGTTAAATAAATGAATGAAAAAAGGAAGGTAGGATTGACGAGAAACTGGGAGAGAAGGAGGAACAAGGTGAGTGATCAAGTGATCGCAGGCTGGGACTCCTCACCCAGACTTTGCCCCAGAGCTGCCACTCACAGCCCTGTTGCCCTAGCAACTCTGTCTCCTGGTAACTTCAAAGTAGTGCCGTTGCCAGGAGACCCAGGGGTAGGGCGGAACTGAGATTTCCGGGCCTTTCTCTCTCCCTCTGGGACCAGAACACAGTTCCACAGCATCCCCCAATATACCCACTCACACAGTCGGGTACCCCCACACCCCCCCAACACACACCATGGCATCTCTGCATATGTTCCACTTCCAGAATCCCCATCACCCACATGCTCACAGACCTACCCTATTCTGACACAAAGCATCCTATCCACACTCTCTCCTACCTTCACACCCCCGCACCCTTCCCTTGCACACACACCAGAACACACTGATACAACCATACCATTGCCGCCACACACAGACACGTTTCCTTTTAGCTGATGTACCTGTAGCTCTGTCTACACACACAGAGATGAGGTACACTGTTACACTGCCTTGTCGAAAGCACCACTCAGCCCCTCCCAACAACAAACCATGATTCACCTCACTTGGCAACACTACAAATGCACAAGCACCCAGTAGTGACGACTGTATCGCACAGCTGCATACATGGAAGCATGCTGAACACAGCCCACCTCAGGTCTTTTGCATTTGCTGTTCCCCTGCCTAGAGCACCCAGCTTCCAGATAGCCCGGTGACTCATTTTTCTACTCCATTCAGGTCTCTGCTCAAATATCACTCAGGCTTTCCATGACCAGGGAAAGATTGCACACACTTCATTGTTTTTCTTTTTAAAATATGTTTTTATTGATTTTTTTAGAGAGAGAAGAAGGGAGAGGGAGAGAGAGAGATAGAAACATCAGTGATGAGAGAGAATCATTGATTGGCTGCCTCCTGCATGCCCTCTACTGGGGATCAAGCCCGCAACCCAGGCATGTGCCCTGAGCAGGAATCGAACCAGTGACCTCTTGGTTCATGGGTTGCCGCTCAAGCACTGAGCCACACTAGCCAGGCCATGCTTCACTTTTTAACTGCGTATCCGTCTTTATATATCTTCAAATAACATATAACTTCCAATATTACGTACTTATTTTATTGCCTCTCTCCCCACTAGAAGCTCAGCTCCACCAAGGTAGGGTCTTTCTTTTTGTTCACTGCTGGGGATCTAGAAGAGCTACTAGTGAGCACTCAGCACACAGTAGGTGCTCATAAATGTAGGCTGAGTACATTGGCAGAGATGCAGACGTTTGGCATACCTCTCATGCACACAGTACTTCTTTCTCTCACTGCTTAGAATCCCATCTTCCTGTTCTGACAGACGAACAATTAACATAGAGGAGCTACCTGGAGGACTGATGGGTGAGGGGATGAGGACGTGGACAGTCTGTGTTTCTCCCTCACTTAATTAACCCTCAAGTTAATTTATGTAACAACTATTTATTGAGTACCTGCTGTGTGCCAGACCCTGTTTTGGGCAC